CGGGGATCCGTCCTGTGATGCGGGTATTTGGGCTCTTAGAGGTGGATTGCCCTGCTGCAGCCTGGGTTGGGGTCTCCGCGTGGCCGTAGCCCTTGAGGGCCCGGGTGTCGGCTCCGCGTCTCCACTCTGTGGTCCATTCCCTTGGAGACCGCTGCATCAGTCTTTCTATAAGTGCAGAGCGCGAGGTGCCATCGCCGATATGCGAGGGAGGTGGAAATAATAACAGCCGCTTTGTGGTGGGCTCTACGTACGCTGCTACATGGATTGGCTCATTCAGGCTTTACAACAGCCCATTGAGTGAGGCTCAGGTCCTCATTTACCAGATGAGGAAACTGAAGTTACACAGCTGCAAAGCAACAGGGCTGGGATTTGAACCTATGGGTACAAACTGGAGAACCCACACACTTAACCATCATGCTGCTAGCTGCAGCCAGGTCCAGAGTCCGGGTCTACTTCTGTCGCCCACCCCCTTCATCCAGAGCTCTCCACAGTCCAACTCTGTTGTGGGCTTTGAAATCTGTACTTAAAGTATCAAGGGGTAATAGTGGGCATTGAGAACTGGGCTGCTGGAGTCCTGAATTCTAGCCCAAGATCTGCCACTAACCCCTGCGTGATCTTGGGCCTGTGTCTGCCCTTCTCTGAGCCCAGTTTCACCATTATTTCAATGATGCAATCAACAAGCTTTAAAGACCCTCTTAGCTAAATTGTTTAGGAGTATGTGGACCTGGCAAATTCTCCTCATAGTTCCAACTATTAATAGCTAAGCCCAGAGGAGATTGGGCTCTTCAAAGCCCTAGGTGAAGGCTTGGCCTTATTCTCTTTATCGCACTGGGGCAGGCTCAGAGTAGATTTTCAGGAAACGTGGATTGAATAAACAAGTTGGTCTGTTTTCAGAACTGCCTGACAGCTGCAGTGCTGGCCCCTCCTCTGGGGCTTTAGACCTTCTACCTACCTGGCCTTCCTGACTGCCTCCTCCCCAGCTAGTGGCAGAGGCTGCCAGAGCTGGCAGCAGCTTCCAACCCTCTGTACCAAGACCACAGCCTCTGGAATCCTCAGCTGAGCACAGTATGGGGGGTGGGGAGGGTGAATTCAAGCCCCGCAGCTCTTTCTCAGCCTTAGCTGGTAGCAGCTCTCAGGGCCCAACTTAGGTTACTACCAGGTTGGGGCAGTTAAGAAGGTAACTTCACAATCAGCCGAAAAGCTACTTGCAATCGAAAAGCTACTTATCCTTCAATGTCCCTTTTTCTGTGAAGCCATCCTTGACTCCCAGAGACATATCCCTTCCACAGCACCTGGTCCGCCCCTCTACTAGAGTATCTATGTGGTGATTATTTCTCTTTCCCCACATAAGCTGCTGGAAGGCGGGGACCCCACCCCCCACCTCCAATATCTTGAAAGACCCTGTGACCCACACAGTTTGAGTGATAGTTCTCCCTTCTGGGTGTGGTGCATCTAGCTCCAGCTCAGGTCTACTCAATATAAAATTTGCTACATGTTTACTGTGTGGCTAGACACATCCCTCTTCACTATCTCTAGTCTTCTCTGAAGCTTTCTTTGCCAGTTTGATGTATCACTCCCATTTTATAGGTTACAAAATGAGGACTGAAAAGCCAGCAACCTTGCTGGAAGTCACACACAGCACAGACCAGACCTGGGGCTGTTTGACCTTGACACATGATTCTTTCTGCACCACCCTATACTGCCTTCCAGTTAAGCTAACCTGTTCTAATGTGGGCAAACATAGGTGCTGGGTCCCGTGGTGACTTGCCATTGACCTCAGTGTGGTATCACAGGATTTAAGCTGCGGCTTGCAGGCTCCATTGATTTGGAAGTGCCCTCCCAAGTGTATGAAGATCTCCCAATCTTTGAGAGACTTTTTGCAAAGCCAAACCTCCACCAGGCTTTCGCTCTGCAGACACGCAACTCTGTTGCTCAGGGGTGTTTTTCTACTTCAGAGATATTTTTTAAGCACCTGTTGTAACAGAATGACCATGTTTGGTATAGGTAACAAGGCACTGAACTAGAAGCCAGGAGGCCCCATGGTCAAGCCCAGCTCTGTGCCTGACTTGCTGCGTGATGTCAGACAAGTCCTGTCACCTCTCTACACGCGATTTTCCACATCAGAATGTAAGAGATAAACAGGATTGGTGATTTAAACTTTTTAATTTTTTTATTACTGACACCCATTTCTCAAATCAAATCTCTCTCTGAACCCTAAAATTAAAAAAAAAAAAACAGATGAAAGTGAAAGTGCCCTAGTGAGGCCTCCCCTTCACCACTCTCAGCCTCCTCCCTTGCCCCCCACCCCCAACCCCCTGTCTCCTTGTGGTGAAATTTAGACTGCAGAGATCCTAGGCAGCCCTGCTCTATTGCTTCTGATAAACAGAAGGCATCTGCTCCCTCAGCCTTCTTAAGTAGATGCAGAGTTGAGGCCAGTGGAATGCAGCTTTGGATCCCAGAAGCCAGAGGCATTCTACAAAGGTTGTTCTCTGAGAAGTGAATCGGAGACCTGTAGACCTAGTTTCAAAATCTGACTTGACTCCAGAATGACATTAAGCAAGTCACTTAACTTCGCTGAGCCTCCATTTCCTTATCATTAAAAGTTAGAATGATTCTCTGAAATTAAATGAGATAATGTCACTATAAAGGACCTAGTCTAGTGCCCAGCATGTAACATATACAGTATATTTTTCTCTTATTTCCTCCATCTCTCCAGCCCCCAAGGCAAAGATAGTAGAGGCAGAGAGACGCTACTGAATCAAGTCTTTTCTAGTACTATGGGCTGTAGTACCCTGCACTCATTATCTAGAAAAATTGAAATTCGTGTAGTCTTAGGCAACTGACTTAACCTCTCTAAGCTAGGCTTATCCTTGGCACACCTGAGAGCAAAGTCCTGCACAGTATGGGTACTCAGAACTTTGTAACTGCTGAATGATTGTTCATTTGGGGGTTGGAGTGTCTTTGGGGAGGACTGGCTTGCTCCTGTGTCAGATGATGTGGCTGGCTCAAGGGTGGGGTGGTAGGGTGGGTCCCTGTGTGGCTCCTGATAACCCCAACCCTGCCAGGGAGGAGGATGGGATAAAATGGGCCCCAGAGCTGGCTGGGAGGGTGCTAAAGGGGCCTAGGAGACTGTGGGGAGAAAGGCATCATCGGTGTACTAAAGGACCCCCCAGGCCCAGGAAGTGCGTAGCCTTGGGTAAGTCTCTGCCTCACTCTGCACCTAGAGGCCCCGTGCACACAAGGAGAGATTGGTGGCTCTTTTCCTTTCCTACTTGGCTGATGGGTGTTCCCCTAGGCACGTCGTCCGAAAGTGGTGCGCACATACAGTGACTACTGAACCATAAAAGTGTCTTGAGACTGAAAAACGAAGCAGGCAAGTCCAATGAATATAACAATTTATTATAGGGTAATTTACTTACAGGAAGATTGGGTCGGAGTGGAAGAGACAACCCAGCAGTCTGCGCAGATTATTCTCTGCTGCTAGACAGTTGTTACAGTAAATATTTTATAGCTGAACTAATGATTGATAAGACAGAGGGGCAAAGAATGCAGTGCAAGCCAGGAACCATACCTCTTGGTGGTCTTATAGATAATTGCTTAGAATTGATGCCTGCGCTAGTTTGATATTTATCTCCATGGATATGCCATTCTGACCTTTTACTGACAGTAATCTTTATGGTTACATTGTGTAAGCTTACTGGACACATTTAATCATTAGCTGAGGCTTTGGTGCTTGCCGAGGCTATTTAGGTCAGAGTTCTCAGCATGGAAAAACAAAAGCAGGGATACAAAGATGGAGTGAGTCAGTTTTGTTCCCATCATCATCTAAACACACCTCTTGAAAGAAGTACCTAAAACAGAGCTCTCTGCTTCCTCTCCAAGCCCCTCTCCCTGCTGCCCTCTTCCTGCCTTGTCCCTGTCTCCATATCCCTCCAGGTCAAACAAGCTCGGAGCGTCCATCCCAAGAGACTGCCTCTTGCCTGCCTTATGATGGTGCTTTCTTCTCTACCCCTCTGACCGCACAGCCTCTGTGCCCTTCTGCTTCCAACCTACTGTGCTCAGGCTATAAGAATTTTCTTCCTAGAGCTGGGCTCTGACCAGGCCACTTCCCCGCACCCTGGTCAGAAATCTTCCCTGTCCTCAGCCTGGCCCCCTCATCCCCTCCCCTCCGTACATACATGGAGGCCCGATTGCCTCCTCAGGTCCTGAGAACAGTCCATAGCCATCCTCCTTCCCCGCCTTGAATCCTTTCTTCCCTTCCTGATGGACTGTTCCCCCCTTTCCCTCTGACTAGCTGAACCCGCTTATCCTGCAAAACCGAGCTGAAGTCCTCCCTCATCTTTTAACATGCGTCTTCTGACGTCCAAATTCACGTTGGAACTCATGGTTCTTTTAGGGTGGGCTCCACCACTCCTAGTGCACTCAGCCAGCCCCACCTCCCAGAACTGTAGTGCCAACTAGATGCGAAATCATGTGTGCAAGTGTCCTCCATGGCCTGGCACACAGTAGGTGCTCAACAAACAAATGATAATGCCCCTACCCCAGCTTCCTTCTGTCTGGCATCCCTTATTTGGCATTTAGGGCCTATTGTCTTGTACTTGATGTGATTAAATATTTACTATGTGGCAGAGTGTGTGGGGGAGGCAGAAATGAACTCACTATGGTCACTGCCCAGCAGAAGCTCCATCTACTGGGACAAGATAAGATGGGTCAACAAAGAACTGTTATATAAGAGAGAGTGTGAGCTGGGCAAGAAGAAAAGCTTCCGCGGGAGGGGTTGCCTTGTGGAGAACCAGGTAGGATTTGGGGGTGGGGAGGCTGTGGAGAGAACATAAGCCTTCTCCATAAAGGGACCAGGTGCAGAGCCAGATGGCCAGGTATGGCTTGTACTTGGGGCACAGTAAGAGGCCCTAGGGCTGGAAAAGAGGGCATCAGTGACCACTCTTCAGTGTGTCTGTCTGTCTGTCTGTCAGGTGCTATTTAATCCTCTTAGTGTGGATCCTGCCTGACAAGAAGTCCCTGGACCAAGGGATTAACATGCTTTTCTTTAGAGGTAGAATTACAGGAGCTTTTTCTCTTTTGGCTTATCTAAAATTTCTGCCACGCACATGGACGTTTTTCATGGAATAGACAAAGTTTAAACGTTGGCTAGATCGTGCACCTCATGCTAATCTCCAGTCTCATCACAGAGTGATCCTTTGAGAAAATAAAATAAAAATGAATTGCTAGAAAAATGTTATTTGAAAAGAAAAAGAGACCATATAAAAGTACTAGCCCAGTTTTACATTATTAGGCTCGAATTGCTCTGAAAGCTTCTTAAGGCCTATCGGTACCTTCATTTCTCTACTTATCTTACAGACTAGGGATTGGTGAACCGCAGTCAGAGGAGCACTGGGGTGGAGAGCAAGGGAGGCAGGAATCTGGAAGAGCCTGAGGGGGGGGTGACCAACGCCTGGGGACAGAGACCATGTCTCATGTGCCTCCCATTGCCTCCACAGAGCTGAGCGCACAGCAGATACCTCAGGAGCCCTCAGTTCCAACCAGCTTGCTGCCCTGCGCCCCCACTGCCCACCATGCAGCCCCAGTCAGTCCTGCACAGCGGCTACTTTCACCCACTGCTTCGGACCTGGCAGACCGCCGCCACCACCCTTAATGCCTCCAACCTCATCTACCCCATCTTTGTCACGTGAGTCCCCAGAATGAGTCAGTCTCTGATCTGCAGGGTGGGTGGGTGACTGGAGCAGGCATCAGTGTTGTTTTGGGTGGTAAAGTGAGCTGTCAGCTTGGAGCTCAAGGTATTGGAAGTGGCCTTCTAGGTTAAGGACAGTCATCTTAGGAATCAAACAAACCTCGAAAAGAACTCGATCTTCTCAATTAGAAAATAAGAAGAACCCTTACCTGCCTCCTGAGCTTTTGCAATAAGACAGAAGCTGAGGTGTTCTGTAGAATTGTGAAGTGCTATGTACATGTAAGAGGTTGCAGTCATGATTATTAATAATAGCAACAGCTGACGTTTATGGAGTACTTACTGTGTGCTAGGCACTATGCTAAGCACCTACACCTATTATCTCATTCAGTCCTGACAGCATCTGTATAAGGAGGGTATGGCTATTATCCTCTAGAATGTCATCTCCACGAGGGCAGGGATTTTTGTCTGTTTTATTCACTGTTATATCACCAGAGCATAGAACAGTACCTGGCATATAATAAGTGCTCAGTAAATATTTGTTGAATGGATGAATGAATCCACCAGGATACACATGAATGACCTGAAGCTCAAAGAGATGGTACGACTTAGCCAAGGTCACCCAATCAGTAAGTGCCCATGATAGCAAGCGAGGACCTTTTGGCTTCAGAATCCAACTGCTTAATCCAACTTGACTGCTTCCTATGATTACTCTTTTTTTAGTATAGTTGCTCTTATTGTCACTGTTATTTTTTTCTTGTTCTAATTATTATTTCAGGCCCTGGGCTTGGCCAGGCAAGGGAACCAGACACTGGACCCCATCCCCTTCTCACCTCCTCCACTTCCATGTTCCTTCCCAGCTCCCCAACCATGCCCCCCAGTCACCCCCTCACCACTGGCCCGTCCCACAGCTGCCAGTTCATTTCTCACCCCCACTCTTGCAGGGATGTTCCTGAGGACATACAGCCTATCGCCAGCCTCCCGGGAGTAGCCAGGTAGGAGACATGGTAGGGAAGGTGGGGGTATGATGGAGGGAGAGATTTTATAGGTGGAGGTGCCAGGAAGCAGAAGCAGACCCAAGAGGTAGAAGAGCCACAGAGTCTGACTTCAGCTCATTCGAGAGAAGGGCGTTTTCAGGGTCGAGGTTGTTTCATGACAGAAGAGGCAGCCTCGTAAAGTAATAATGGGCTGTCTATCACCAGAGGCGGCATAGCAGAGGCTTGCATAGGAGAGTTGACCTTCAAATGGGTGTTCAATGGGAAGACATTGGAGGGACTTTCCACATCTGAATTCCATAGCTCTGCTACTTGGGGCCTCGGTTTCCCCATCTGTTTGTTGGGTACATTTCTGCCCTTCCCTGGGGCTTGAGTCCTCTTGGTGCCATGTCCAGCTTGGCTCGTCACAGAGGCCGAGTGGGGAGGAACTTTGCCTGGGACCTGCCTTCTCACGTCAGCCCCTCCACCCCACCTCCATGCAGATATGGTGTCAACCGGCTCGAACAGATGCTGAGGCCCCTGGTGGAAGAGGGTCTGCGCTGTGTCCTGGTCTTCGGCGTCCCCAGCAGAGTTCCCAAGGTGAAGAATCGGAGGAGGAGTTAGAGGGGAGTGGAAGGGGAGGTTGGCTGAGGGTGGGCTGAGGTTCTATACTGACCACACCCTCATTCCGGCCTTATGCTGGCCCTGGGGCCACAGGTGAATGGACATGGCCCCCACTGTTATGACAGCACCCGTGTAGGGTCAGGAAACTAAGTAGGGCTATGACATCCTGACTGGGCAAGTCAGGTCCCCTCTGCAAAATGGGGACAGTCCTCACTGTGCTCCCCCATCTAGGGGCTGTGTTGGTGATAAAAGGAGAGGGACAGAGCTCGCTCAAGAGTGTGAGCTCTGTGCAACAGGTTCGAGTCCCGCCCAAGCTGAGCTGCCACTGAGCTGCCAATAGGTGGCAGGATGGTTCAGCTAAAAGAAAAAAGAAAAAAAAAAAAAAGGAGAGGGACAGGGCTGCACTCTAAGGGCCATTGTGCCTCCCAAAGGCTTCATGTGACGGACACACTGCTTTGTCCTTCCTCTGCCACTAGGATGAGTGGGGTTCTGCAGCTGACTCCGAGGACTCCCCAGCTATTGAGGCGATCCGTCTGTTGCGCAAGACCTTCCCCAGCCTCCTGGTGGCCTGTGATGTCTGCCTGTGCCCCTACACCTCCCATGGTCACTGCGGTGAGTTCCCTCCCTCCACCAGCCCTGCTGCCACCTGCACTCCCACTGCCCAGGTCTCAGAGTGGGACAGGCCAGGGCCTAAAATGTTCCCTAAAACCCAACTGTCTGACCTGCAGGACTTCTGAGCGAGAGTGGGGCTTTCCAGGCCGAGGAGAGCCGCCGGCGGCTGGCCGAAGTGGCACTGGCCTATGCCAAGGCAGGTGCGTGACCCCAGCACGGATGAGCAGTCCTGGGTCAGGGAGGTGGCAGAGTGGATAGGAGGGCCCCGGAGTTCTGAAGACCACCCTCTGCCCCTTAGGATGTCAGGTGGTAGCCCCGTCGGACATGATGGACGGACGCGTGGAAGCCATCAAGGAGGCTCTGATGGCACATGGATTTGGCAACAGGGTAGGGGTGGGGAGTGCAGGGAAGGGTGGGGGGAGGGGAGAGAGCTGGAGCCTGGACCAGCCCTACCCCCACATCTGCCAAGAATCACGGAACTCAAGACAGCACTGGACAAGGCCTTTGGGATCTCTCTCAACCTCTGCACCTCAGATGGGGAAATGAACGCCCAGAGCTCCAGTGGGACTAGGACACTGGCACTCTACTTCCCAGCCTGGACCCGTGTCCTGCCACATCCCCCTGGGACATCTGGAAAGAGGCGACTGAGCCTCACTCCCATTGTCTCCCCGTAGGTGTCAGTGATGAGCTATAGCGCCAAGTTTGCTTCCTGTTTCTATGGACCTTTCCGGTGAGTGGGGGTTAGCAGGGTTCTGCTGTTCATTCGTTGACCGGTTAGCCCAAAGCTGGAGCCCACCCTAACGCTTCTGCTTCCCAGGGATGCGGCTCAGTCAAGCCCAGCTTTTGGAGACCGCCGCTGCTACCAACTGCCGCCCGGAGCACGAGGGTTGGCCCTGCGAGCAGTGGTGAGTGACCAGAGCTTGAGGCTCCTCCCCCACCACTCCCCACCCCGCCCTCCCGCAGCCTGTCCCCCTCTGTCCTCACCTCCCAGGCACTGCCCACACTGCACCTCATCCCTTAGGACCGGGATATAAGGGAAGGAGCCGACATGGTCATGGTGAAGCCGGGGATGCCCTACCTGGACATTGTGCGGGAAGTGAAGGACAAGGTGAGCACAGAGCAGAGACAAGGGGGGCTCAGGGAGATGAGAGAGTGTGTCCATGGACTCTGGGGCCTTAGAGTAAGGGACTGCAGAATCTCAGAGTTGGAAGCAATCTGCCCTGAACAGGAATCCTCCCCTCCCCACCCCTGCCCAGGAACCACCAGTGGGCAGCAGCCTTTAAACAGCTTCTGCTTTAAAAGTTCAAGAATGCACCGGGCTGCCAGCAGCAGTGACTCAGGGCATGGGGCTCAAGATGGTCACAGATTGGGCAGAGAGGAAGGGACACTTCCGGGCACAGACCCACCCTCCGCTTCTGCCTCCGCTGCTTCTCTGCAGCACCCTGAGCTCCCTCTCGCTGTGTACCATGTTTCTGGAGAATTTGCAATGCTGTGGCACGGAGCCCAGGCCGGGGCGTTTGATCTCAAGGCTGCTGTGCTGGAGGCCATGACCTCCTTCCGCAGAGCAGGTAAGCAGGTAGGGGTGGGGGTTCTGACCTGTGCCACATGGACTGATAGGCATTTTGCCCAGAGAGGGAAATGAAGTCATGAGACCTGTTAGGCATGGAAATACCAGTGATCCAAACAGACACAGGCTGAGGAAGAGACATGAAACTATATAGAACAGAATGCGGACCAGTGAAGAAAGCAGAGCCCTCTATTACTTTTGGGTGTTGAGACCTCAGCCTAGCCGCTTCTCTGAACTTCAGTGCCCTCGCCTGTAATAGGGATAAGACACCTGGTGCATAGTTGTCTTGTGGGTTAAATGAGATGATATGTATATTTGGCATAAATGGATCACCCCATAAATGGGAGCTGGTTTTATTGCCGTGGCACACAGTGTGGGAAGGGAACTTACAGCTTACCTATTTCCCTCACTGTGCATTTTATACATTGGCAAATTGAGGCCCACAAAGAGAAAATCGCTTTGCCCACAGTCACACAATGTACAGAGCTAGAACTGATAAGAGCTGGGCTCAGTCTTAGGTCGTGTCGCCCACTGACTGTGCCTCTTCATAGCAGCCTTCTTTCCCCACTGGCCCTCATCTCCCAGAAGGCGTGCCCAGAGCTGATGCCCTGCCCCTCCCCTGTGTCCTGCTTCTCTCCCCGACACAGGTGCCGACATCATCATTACCTACTACACACCTCAGCTATTGCAGTGGCTGAAGGAGTGATGGAGAGAGTGTGTAAGACCCAAGAACTGAAACTTTAAAAAGGTCCCGGGCCTTGGAGAAGTGAAAACCCAAGTAAATGCTGCTTTGAGAACTTTGCCATCATACCCTCTTCCTGCTCACGTGCTGTCAGGTGCCTAGCAGTCCCGGGTGGTTTCGGCCAGCATGCCAAATCTTACCACTCACAGCCACATCTTCATGGGCCCCCTCAAGCTTCCCCACCCTCTCCTGGCTCAGCCCCAAAGCCACCGCTGCCATTCCAGCTCCTTCCTCTGGTGTGGCTTCAGCTTGAAAACCTCCCGCAGTCAAGGGCGCAGGCTTGGTGGGGCCTGGGAGAGGGGCCTGAAGCATTAGGGGAAGAGGAAGGCAGTTGGATCATGGATCCACAGAAGCTCTGGAAAGCCCAAGGCCTCTGGCAGCATTGCTGGGTGCTGGGACTGAGGCCTAGATTGACATCCACGGGTTAACAGTTGAGATTTGCTGTAATTCCACCTGGAAGGTGATTCCCACACAGTCCAGGGGTCGACAGGCTGCCTCAGATCTCTTGTTCTACTCTGAGCCATAAACCCAGGAAAGAATTACTCATTAACGAGCAGAAACATTGCCTGAGGATCAAAATTCAGAAGCAAAGAGAGAGTTCCTGACTGTTGGAGGTGCCGCCATCAAAAAGGATTTTTATTAAAGAGGTATTTTTTTGAGAACATGTGCTGTGTGCCCAGGCACGGTGCTGGGTACTGAGCATCTAGCAGGACAGACAGCTTGTCTCTCTGCATCAAGCTATACAAGAATGAGGAAGACAATAACAAGAAAACAGACAAATACAGCAGTTACACGTTATAAGTGCTTTGAAGGAAAGAAAGGGTCTGAGACAGAAGAAAGGGGGCCTCTCTTGAGGGGATGGTTGAGAAAGCCTTCCCTGAGGTTAAGGGACAAGGAAGGACCCTTTCAGAGAGCAGAGGGAAGCGCGCCAGAAGCTTCGAGAACGACACGAAGTGTGCAGGATCCTGTGATGAGAGGAGCTCGGCAGCGCCTCTGGGAGCAGGATGAAGAGGAAGGTGGGTGACAGGACTGGAGGTTGGAAAGGTAGATCCTGCACCTTTTAAGAAGCTTGGATTTTATTTTGTATTTGATACAAAGCCACCTGAAGGATCGTAACCAATTTCGTGTGGTCCAGTTTCGCACACTCTGCTCCTATGGGGAAAGTGGAAGGGCGAGAGAAAGAGCCTGCCTGGGAGGCTACTGCAGACCCCAGGGAGCAATGGTGGCGGCTTTACCATGATGGTAGCAGTGGAGAGAGGAGGAAGCAAATGTATTCAGGGTACATTTTGGCGACAGAATTAGCAGATTTTGCCAATGCTTTAAATCCAGAGGGGTTGAGGGTGAGGCAACGGAAGAAACAAGGATGCCTTCATGGGTTGCTGACTTGAGCAACTGAATGAGTAGTTTCAATTTTCTTCTGAGACTGACAGGATATAATGTTTCCCCCTCATGAAAGTTAAGGCCCAGCTAAGGAGGAGCCTGAGTACAAGTCCACCTGCCCATCTGCAAAGTGACAGAATCCCAACTCCAGCTCAAAAGCAAGTTCAATTTGGACCATAAAGCAAAACAACCCATTTTAAAATTGAGCATTATCAACTCCCGGAAGCTCCTGCCCTCAGACCAGTCTCCTCTGACTGGTGGTAGCCTTTCCCAGGGTTGTGGCCGACTTCACTAACAACCTGATCTCAGCCTATGGGAAAGTGGCCAGCCAAAATCAGGGCTTGAAGAGTCACAGAGCTTCCAGGGAGCCTGAGCCTGAATCTGCCTACCACCGAGGAACCCAGAGCACTCACTGGAGATGAGCCACTCATGGGCCTTGGGGCTTAGACCAGGCCAGAACTTGTGACAATCTTAGCTTCTTGGCTTCCTGTCTCCTGGCCCCTGGCCTCAGCCCATTTCTGGTTAAAATGACTAGTGTGAAAGGGAAGGCTCTTCAAAGCCATCCCAGACTCATCACTGTCAAGCAAATGCAGGGCCTGGCTCTGTTCTAGGCACAGAGAGACAGTAGACAGACACTGCCCTTTAGGTACGAACAGTCGGTCCACAGGGAGCAAACAACTGTGTGTATCCAGGCCCGCACCCCAGGGGTAACAGTAAGTGGAATGAGCCTCCCTGAGAACCAGGAAGCACATGTATCACCAGTGATGTGGTGACAAGTACTGTGAAGGAGGTCACCAGGACCTGACCTAGTTTGAAGGATTAGAAAATGCTTCCCTGAGGGACTGACATTTCAGCCTAGACCTGAAGGTGAAGGAAGTGCAACCAAGCTAGGACTGGGAAGAGCATTCCAGGCAGAGGGATTCCTGGGGCCTGATGAGCTGGAAGGACACCAGCCTGGTATAGCCGACACAGGAGAGGCTGGAGGAAGAGGCGGCCTGAACTGGGTGAAGAGCTGCCAGGGCCAAACCATGCAGGGGCTCAAAAGCCACCTCACCCTTTTCAAACTTTATTCAAAGAGGAAGGAAGGCAGTTGAAGCCATGTAAGCAGGGGAATGACTCACTCTGCTTTTCATTTTATAAAAGCATTTTGACAGCACTGTCGCAAAGTACAGATGAGACATTTTCTGGCCTGGACTAGAGTAGTGAGTGGTGATGGAGAGGAGAATGGATTTAGGAGGTAGATTAGATGTGAAGGATGAACTTGGCTTGAGCTCCCGGGTGGCTGATGGGCCATTTACTGAGATGAAGAAGCTTGGAAGAGGGTCAGGGTGGAGGGGAAATCCTAAATTTAGCTGGGGTTTGAATGAGGAAGCTGTACCTAGAAAGCTTGTATGTTTCACTCAAGGCCGCTCGAAAGTGTGTGACAGAGCTGGGTCTAGAACCCCAGTCACCAAATACAGTAGAGCTGGGACTTGAATCCATATATCCATACTCCAAGGCCTCTACCCTTAACCACTGTGCCATACCACCTCCCAATAAATAGAAGCAAAATTACGGATCTAACAGGATGCTATCATTAGCTGCAGTAGTGGGGCATCATGGTCTATGTGAGTGGTGCCCTTGGGAGTTAGGACCTATTGCCTGGGGTGCCTGCCTGGTGTCCCCTCTGTATGTTTTGTCTGCAGAAGCAGTAATGGCCGGGCAGGGAGCTGGAGGGGTTTGGGTGGTCCTGGGTGAAACTGGTTCCACCACAGTCCTGCCTCCTGCTGTGGACCCTGCTCTTGCTGGTAGGAATTTTATCCTTGGGCAGAGAACCCAGCTTTCACAATCTCGTGGCATATTCTCAGGCTTCCAGGCACCACAGCTGATAAGTGAGCATTAAGAGGCCTCTCTTCGGAAGACATTTTCCTGTTTCTCTCTCAGATGTGCCAGATTGGACCTGAGCTTGTCTGTTTCTGGTAGGACCTTCTTGAAGGTCACAACAAATAACCAACACATTCCACTATCCTCACTCTTTGCTTTACTAAGATCCCTAGATCAGTGGCATGTGGTTGAAGGTCCCAAAAAGCAACAGGCATTTTAACCAGCCAGTTTACTACCAATTTCCCAAGTCGAAAAGGAAGAATTCTGACCTGCTCCCTACCCCACATGGACTCTGCCAATTTCCACATATTAGTGCCTGTGTCTTGCAGCACCCCATAATCTGTATTGCACTGGGTAGTCTTGTTTACATGTGACGGAAACTAAATGCAATAAGAAATGATTGGTTTTCATAACTAGATTGTAATAAGGTCAGGTGTGGCTAGATCTAGGGTCAAAGGCTCTCATGGGGGCCTCTGTCCCTTCCTAGCTCTCTCTTTGCCTCAGCTTTATTTTGCCACTTAACAACATGATCCTTAGATGGTCCTTTAGACTTACAATCCCAGATCTTGATCCCTCCTGTCCCATCATTTACATAGCAAATCTCTGGAGGTCTGATTGGCCCTGCTCAGGTCACATGCTGGCCTCTTCTGTAAACAATGGCATGGGAGATGTGGCACTATGATTGACACGGTCTACCTCATTACACAAGAGGCTGTTGTACCAGTGATCCCCTTTGTCTAGAAATGCTTTACCCCAAAATTTGTATGACCATCTCCTTTTTATTGTTAAGATCTTGGCATAAGTGTCGTTTCCTCACAGCAACCCCTCCTGATACCCAATTTAAAGTCATTCCCCAGTCACTGTATTACTCAGGATTCAAGTTCAGTAGATAAAACAAAATAACGATAGCTTAATATGGAATATTTCCGAGCGGTCCAGAGCTATGTCAACTACGTGATGTGATGTGGGAAGTCTTGGCTCCTGCCTTGTTTTGTCATCTTCAAAACATCTCAGCTTCCATCTCATGATGGAAGATGGCAGGTCCAGTTCCCACCATCAGGTCCAGCCAGCAGGAAGAAGGGCAAATGGAGGGCGTGACCCTTCTTTACAACCCAAAAGTTGCACACATCACTTCTGTGAACATGCCCTTGTCTGAACTTGGCCATATGGCCACACCTAGTTGTGTAAGCAAGGCTGGAAAATAAGAATCTAGAGGGGCAACTAAAACTCAGGTTCAATTATTAAGGAAGATGGAGAGAATGGATATTGGGGCAAATGACCCTTCCCATCACATGGAGTTTCTTGTAATCACAGAACTGGTCAGAATAACAACATAAAGAGGTCCTTAGAGACAGGAGACAGACCCAGAGAGGGGACTCGTCCAAATACACAAGCCAGAGGCAGACCAATGCTGGGATTCAGGCCCAACTCCAAACCCAGTGCTCAAAACTGGGAAAGGGATTGCTTTTAGAGGGACTTGACCTTTTTATGTATTATCTTAGCTTCAAATTCATTTTTATATTCATGTATGATATATATCAAGGATATATCCATGTGTTATTTGTGTAAATAAAAGTACATGAAAATGGATAATACATGTATGAAAGCGTGTTATCTTCATTAGTCAACAGTGAAATTCAAGTTAAAACCACAATGAGAGAGCACTATACCTCGGTCAGAATGCCTAAAGTTTTTAGAAGGTAGACAATGCCAGTTGTTGAGAATGTGGAGCAGCGCGAACTCTCAGCTGTTACTGGTACAAGCACTTCAGAAAACTGGCCACATCTACTAAAGTTGAACGTATGCATACGTTATGGCGTGGTGATTTCACATCTAGGAATGTACCTAACACAAACATGTACGGGTGTTCACTAACATTAGACATATTTGAGAACGTTCATAGTAACATTTTCTAATATTTGTAATAACCAAAAACTGGAGATAACCAAATGTCTACCAACAGTGAAATGGAGTATATTCATATAATGGAATATTATAGGAGAATGAATGACCGACAACTACACATAGCAATGTGAATGAATCTTACAAATAAAATTTTGAGCTAAAGAAGGCAAAAGAATTCATGCTGTATTACGCCATTTTTACACAGTTCAAAGTAAATTTGCAAGTAGAAGTCAAGATAGTGGTTACCCTCTGTGGGGGTAAGCGACCGGGAGAGGACGGGGGCTCCAGGTTTCTGGAAATTTTTTTTTCTTGGTCTAGGTGCTGGTTGCATAGATATGTTTAATTTGTAAAAATTCAAGGACACACTTCTTTGCACCTCTCTATATTTTAATTAAAGTTAACTTTAAGTAGATGAAAATTTAAAAGTAGAGACGTGTCTGGTGTGCCCAGCCTGGGTTTACTTAGTACTTTGGGTGTGAGAACTTCAAGGGAAAAGCCCACATGTAAGAAACATATTTTCTCAAAGACAAATAACTTAAGGCAGCATCCAGTGTGACATGCCAGGTGTCTCCAGGCCAGGACACAGACCAAGGGATGTCACCTGACTTCGGAAGGACATGGCACCCATTAAGTGTACCCATCTTTGAACTGGCAAATCAGAAGGTCGTTTCAGAATAGCAGGAACCTGTCATTGGCTTTCCTGTGACACACAAGCCTTTTTTTTCTCTCCTGAAAAAGTTACTCAGAGAAAGAGAAAGGCAGAGCCTAGAGGATGGTTAAATCAGGGCCATAACTCCCGAAGGCACATTCACACAGATTATAATGGAAATGCCCCCCTCATGCATTGGGTGCCCTGGGTTGAAATAGTTATATATGACTAAACAAAACCTTAACCTCTCAGGAGACAATTATCTCATCAGAAAAGAATCATCTACTTCTCAGAGCTTTTCCGTGTGTTCTCATTTGATCCTGATATAAACATGCTCTATTTATATATGGAGAAACTCAGAGTCCATGGGCAAAATTAATTATCTTGGAAATTAACTTATAAACTAACCTGGACTTTAGCTGGAAGTTATTTTGTCCAACCCCAACCCCACCCATTTTGCATATTGTGAGGCTGAGGCCCAGAGAGGAAAATTATTTACTGGAGGGCTCACAGAGGGTCAGGTGGCAGAGCTGGGAGCAGAACCTAAGGGGTTGGGTTTTAGGTAACCCTGAAAAGTGGACAATCTCAGACTTGGATTCTGTGAAGTGCAAATGGACCTCTGGCCTCCCAATCACCCTTTCCACTCCCTCTTCTGGGAATCATGCTTGTGACACATAACACAAGTTTTGCTCGTGAGTCCCTGGAATCAGGCTCTCCCTTGAGGCCCAGCATCTGTGACTCTGCACTTTGTATTCCCTCCAGGCCTGAGCCCAGTGAGGGTGAGGCGGTTCTGAATGAGGAAAACAGACCAGCCTTGGAATACAGGAGAAAGTTTTGTAAAGAAAGAAGCAAGAGAGAGAAAGGGAGGGAGAAAGGAAGGGAAGGAGGGGTGGAGGAGATAAAGGAAGAAAATTGTACGCATGTTTGTGTGCTCCTAGAAAAATGTCTCATGGCATAACCAAAACTGCCACTGCAGAAACCCCTGGGGAGGGAAGGGGAGCAGAGAGGCACTCCTTTTCCTCCCTGTCCCCAAGGCCACTACCCTTGTTCTGTAAGCAGGTTGGGGCCCCAGCACCTTTGCACTTGTGGCTTCACCACTTGTCCCTTAATTTTCACCTGGCTGCCATTCAGATCTTTGCTCCTCCCCTAACCACCTCATCCAAAGAGGCCCTTCACTGCTCATGAAACCATTGTTTTATTGCCTCCATAGCACTCATCACTATCTAAAATCTTGTTTTTGTACTTGATTTTTGTCTCTTCCTCCCATGTTCCATGAAGGCAGAAACTCTGTCTTGTTTCCCACTGTATCCTCAGTGAAGGACAGGGTCAGACACAGGAAGACAGATGTTCAGTGAGTCCTTAGTGATCGAGGTTGGGAATTCTCTTTTTACTTTGGACACTTTGTATTATTAAACATTTTTGAGATAAGCATGAAACTTTTTTCATCAAAAAGAAAGAAAAGCAGCTACATTACTGCAGAGGACTCTACCCTCAGCAAATTGACGGGTTAAACAAGTTTCCAACTGAAAACACTTCCCTCCTGGTACGGATTGGGAACTCAAACCAGAGAGGAGCGTCCAAGGCCGCACAGCACTCAGCAAGCCAGGCCGGGACCCAAATCCCACTCTTCCCGAGTCAGCCTGAGTCCCTCCCAGGAACGTCCGGACCCAAGGGAGGCGAAGGAGCTTGGGGGAGGGAAAGGCGGAGCGGAGACAGCGCAGAAAGCGGGGAACGGAGGGAGGCAGCGAGGGCCGGGAAAGAATGCTAGGTGACCGTGCGACGCGGGGTGAGGAAGGGTGCAGGCTGGAGAGCCAAGAGGGTGTGGGGTCTTACGAAGGGGCGGAGAGCGAACCGAGGAGCGCAGAGCGAACCGAGGAGCGCGGTAAGGGCAGGTGACAGAGGCGCTGGGTGGAGGAGGCGACAGATAGGCGCTGGGTGGAGGGAGGTGAAGGTGCGGCGGGTGTGGCTGGAGGGCGCGGCGAAAGGGTGCAGAAGGAGGGGGGCGAGGAGGCGGGGCGGAGGAGGCGGAACCGGCGAGGAGCGGAAGCGGGGGCGAGGGGGGCGGAAGGGGGGGCTGGTCACTGGTTCCGCCAGGCCGCCCGGCCTCTGCTTCCTCTCCGCGTCCCGCGAGCGGCTGCAGCCTCCTGCTTGACCAGCCTCCCTGCTAGGCAGGTGGGTCCTGGGCCCCGGGCCCCGGGGACGGGCGTAGAGCAGTCGGAACGCGCTGGATCTGAGAAGGGGCCCCAGAATTGCGGCCGCGGCCCTCCCGCCTCGGGTCACGCTCGCAGAGGGCAGCTGTAGAGGCTTTGCTTTACGCCAAGCCCCGGAGGTGGGGAGAGGGATGAGCAGTGCAGGCCTGTAGCCCAGAGTCCCCAGCTCCGGCTTCCAGGAATGGAAAAACACTTGTGGCTCGGGAGCCAGAGCCCTTTGTTCTGGTCTTGGCTATGCCTGTGGCTCCCTGCGTGACTTTCAGCGAGTTACGCCCCTACATCGCCCCACCTGCAAAGTCAGAGTGTCTTTGGATGCGTCTCCCTAAGTTCTAGACTGACTTTAAGTTCATTTTCTTCACCACCTTCCTCCAAGACGTTCCCAGATTCACCAGCCGCATCACCCCCTGTGCAAACCGGTGGCTGCACTCTGAACTCTGACCACTTGGGTTTCTTCTGGAAGCCTGGGGGAAGAAGTTGCATCCAGCCCCTGGACAACAGGCTGAGAAATTCGTTTCCTGTGCATTGAGTGCTAATCCTTTCACTGGCTGGCCACCCAGGCAGATATTCCCTCCAGTAAAGATGAAGCTGGGGATCAAAGAGGCTTAGGGACAGACAGGTAGGACCAGGGTGCTCTGCCCTGCAGTTTACCCTGTGCTGTACCTGTTTACCAAAATCAGGTTTCAAAAAAAAAAATCCAAATATGTCTCAGCAGTGGAAGGGAGCACTGGCCAGAGAGACTGGAAGTTTGGATTCTAATTCTGGCTGTGCTGCTTCTCACTGTGACGTTAAGCAAGTATCTGTCCCTCTCTGGCTCAGTCTTTCCTGTTGAACAGCCAGAGGGTTGGTCGGATGGTCTGCAAGGACCCTTCTGTTTTTGGCATTACTAACAATAGGAATAGCAATTGTGGACGAAAAGGCCACACGCTAAACCTGACAAGCTCAGGGCAGGCCAGCATGGCAGGCCCTACAAACTCAGAGACTGAAAGTAACCACACAGGATGGTCTGAACATAAAAATTCCTAACTTAGAGCAAGTCATGGCTGATAATCACATCTTTGGCCTGTAGCTTCCTTTACAAAGGTCAGTCTTAACCATAAGTGAGCCCATCTGTTGTCCTGTTGCATCTAAGATAACATACCCTTGGAATGTCAGAGTAATCCCTCTTTCCAGAACCCTCAGAACAACCCACCATACCAAAGCAAGAGACTACAGAACCCCTCAGTGTTATCTTTTTCTCTGAATACCATCTCCCCTATGTGCTGTAATATGTTAGTTAACTATCCTGTGCCCACCAAAGCAAAAGAAAAGTGTTCTCCATTTTACTTTTTATCCAATCCCAGAGATTTCCCTGCTTTGATTTCTCCCACTCCCTTAATCTGTCACCAAAAGATTTCATGTAACCCTCCATACGTCTCCTCCTTTGATTCTAATGTATAAAATAAGCTGCAAAACTTCCATTCTCCAGAGTATTTTCTTAATCTCATCCCTTTGGCTCAAACTCATTGAACTTTTCTACAGATTTGGACATTTCTTAGGACACAATTGTAATTGTTTCCTTACCATGACCTACAAAGTCCTGCCTGAACTAGCTCCTATCTGCCCAAAGCACCAGACTCCTTGACCTTCCTTATGGGCCTTTGCATTGCTGTTTCCAGTGTCAGCAACACTTAATCACGTCTGCTTCCCACATAGTCATTCTTCAGATCCCCACTGAAACTTGCCTTGCTGAGGAAGTTCCCTGATGAAGATTTGATCTGGTCCCTAGATTTATAACTTCATGATTCATGCTGCATTCATTATGCTTAAGTGTTTGTGAGTTCTTTATTTAATAACTGTATCCCCTATTCTTTAATGCTCGTAAATGCCATGAAGGCTGGAACCCTGCCCCATTCCTAGCATGTAGCACATAATAGGTGCTCAGAAACTTGTGGGATGAACAGATGACCTCATTTAGTCCAACAGTTTTGTGAGGTGGGTCCTTGTGCTCCTCTTACACATGGAGAGACAGGGCTTCAGAGAATGACACTTCCAGGGTCACACAGCGAGTTGGCAGCACCCAGTCTGTATGACTGAAGCCTGAGTTTCCACCTCACCTGCCATCTCATTCCAGGTTCTTCTACTGTGAAGACATTAACCCAAATGCCAGCAAACCTGACCCACGAAGCCTGGAAAGAGACACCTGTTAGGTTGTGGAGGTGTGTTCTTGTCCAGCTCGGTTTCCCCTTGGCCCCTGGAACCTGAGGTGGAGCTGGGGTGGACTTAGCCCCCTTCTGCAGACCCATGGCACACCGGCTACAGCTACGGCTACTGACGTGGGATGTGAAGGACACGCTGATCAGGATGCGCCACCCTGTTGGGGAGGAATATGCCTCCAAGGCCCGGGCCCACGGGCTGGAGGTAGAGGCCTTGGCCCTGGGACAAGCCTTTGGGCAGGCGTACAGGGCTCAGAGCCACCGCTTCCCCAACTACGGCCTGAGCCATGGCCTCACCTCCCGCCAGTGGTGGCTGGATGTGGTCCTGCAGACTTTCCACTTGGCGGGTATTCGGGATGCTCAGGCTGTGGCCCCTGTTGCTGACCAGCTATACAAGGACTTCAGCAGCCCCTGCACCTGGCAAGTGTTGGAGGGGGCTGAGGCCACCCTGAGTGGGTGCCGAGAACGAGGTTTGAGGCTGGCAGTGATCTCCAACTTTGACCAGCGACTAGAGGACATCCTGGTGGGTCTTGGCCTGCGAGAACACTTCGACTTTGTGCTGACCTCTGAGGCTACTGGCTGGCCCAAGCCAGACCCCCGCATTTTCCATGAGGCTTTGCGGCTTGCTCATGTAGAACCGGCGCTGGCCGCCCATGTTGGAGACAGTTACCGCTGTGATTACAAGGGGGCACAGGCTGTAGGCATGCACAGCTTCCTGGTGGTTGGTCCAGGGCCTTTGGACCCTGCAGTCAAGGATTCTATACCCCAAGAACATATCCTCCCCTCACTGTCCCATCTTCTGCCTGCCCTTGACCACCTGGAGGGCTTACCCCCACAGCCGTGAGTCTGGTGAAGGAAGTGGCTGGGCCCAACATACACTAGGGACAGGGAGCCCTTTCCTGCCCGAGACCTGGCCTTTGCCCCTCTCCCCACAGCCTCGATAATGCATTCTGACTATAAAGCAGTGACTGCGGGTCTTTCAACCCTGTCCCACTAACCAGCTCCTGGTCTCTGAGATGACACATTCATCGTGTCTATGTCCCTTTTCCACCACGAGTCCCCCTTACCTCCAACAAGATTCACTGAGGGCCCAACTAGCTTCAAAACCAGGTACTTTCTAATTTTATTTTAGCAGCAGGGCCCTTTTGTTATGCGAGATCTTATGTGGAACCCCAATATGCAAAACAGAAAAAAAACCAGCATTGCCACACAGCTATCCAGCCGTCTGTCCCCCCCACGCTTAAGCCTAAACTGACCCTTTTAAGGACACTGCTCATACACCTTGTGCTTCTGTTTGGCTCCAAAGGATGGCCGGTTGGTCAATGATGGGTAAGATTCCTCATGGGAGGAACAACCTAAGACAGGCACGGTCGGTTGGAGGCCATCAGGAGAAATCTCGGGGCTGATGGAGGTGGGCATGAGCCCTCACTCGCCCCCCAAAGAGACTGGAGGTTTTCTACCTCTGTAGCTACATTCCTTCCCTCAACCTGCTTGAGAAGTGACCTAATGGTGTGATAGTATCTGTCCTCAATATAATAATCTTATTTTCCTGGGGTCGTATGTATGTAGGGTGTGTGAAGGCAGAGCATCTGTCTTATCTCTGATGGTGGACTCTCGGTAATGGCAGCTTGCAGGCATGGGTAATCTGGTTTCAGCAAGTTCTCAGGAATGAGAGACTGTGGAGAGAACAGTGCTACTTCCGGGTAGGTGAAGAAATGAAAGCGGCGTGTCAGCCCGATTCGGGGCTCTTAGTCCACGAGGCTGGAGACCCTTGGCCCCACGCTCATTTAACTCTTGACTGCTGTTTCTTTTATTTCTTAACCCTTCGCCGCCCCCTCTCGTTCTCCCACTGCTCATGTCGTGCGGGACGGACAACCCAGAAACTGCTAGGGTTGAAGCAGGGGTCCTAGGGCCCTGAAGCCTCTGACACCACCCCTGACCCCAAAGCCTAAGTTCAGAGGAGCTTAGTTTGAAAATCAGGATGTCAAGCTATGCTGTAGGGACATGTCCTCTAGGACCATGTAGTCTAAACTAGAGATTTTAGAAAGGAACACCATAGTTAGGAGTTATGAGAAGAAACTTGATTTATGCCTGCCATGTGTTAGGTACCCTCCTAGTCCATTATATGCATATATAACCCTCAAAGCTACCTAGTGGGCATAGGTAGCGTGACCTCCACTTTGCAATGGATTCAGAGCTTAAATAGCCTGCCTGAGCTCACAGGTGGTACATGAGGGAGCAAGGGTTCCAATTAGGCATGTCTGACTCCAAAGCCCACTGGCTTGATCACTAGGTTCCAAGTAGGAAGGGATCCATGTCACATAAGACATGATGCAGCGGAGATCCTGGGAGACTAGGGAAGGTGTCCTAAAGGATGTCATAGGGGTTAGTGTAGAATAGGAAAGCTCAGGGACCACAGCCCACGATGGCAGGAGTGGAGGGACTGTAGGAAGAATCGCTGGAGATTGAAGTAGGTTGGGCTTTTTAAATTCCATGTCTCTTCCTGCCTCTCTTCACACACCTCTCTACTTGGTTACTTGGTATTTACTGGATACCTCTATGCCAGGCACGGGATACCACGGGTGAAAAGCACGTAGGCACACAGTGTATGTTCTCGTGCCAACAGCCAGGGAGGGCTCTGGAGTGGACCCTGAACTGGGGCTGGCATTGAGATGGGCAGAAGGGTAAGAGGGGCATCATGGCGGCAGGCCTGTGGACTGAAGGCTGTGGGGAGTTGGACTGGTGGTTCGGGGAGCATGTCATAGGGGCCTTCAGGTGCCATGTAGAAGAATTTGGCTTTGACCCAGGTGTTTACACAGACTGCCAGGCAAAGGCAAGGAAGCTCTTCTCAGACATCTTCCCGAGTGTCAGGCAATGAGGATACAGTTGTGAGCTGCAAGGGCCTCAGAAGTCATCACAACCAGAAAAGTTGCCAATAGGTCTGTGGACTGGATTTAATCCGCTCAGTGTTTCAAGTATATTATTCAGGAAACAACAGTGAGGAGGACTCTGTCCCTTATCTTGGAGCCCAGGAGCCTGAAGTTGTAGGTAAGATTGCCTTTGCACTGTGTTCCGATGAAACAAAAATGTTTCAGACCACTGTTCTAATGTGACCACCTCAGAGAACAGGAAGGGACTTGCCTTTGGTCCCAGCAATTCAGGGCACAGAACCATCTCCGGGCTCTTCACTGTACGCATATGCTGACTTGCCACCTGCTTGCATCTGAGGGGATGTGGATGAGGGTGAGGAAGACGTGATTTCCCAGCAAACATCTCTAGATATGAGCTGCCACTTAGGGGATTTGCCCAATTACCAACAAAGAACATGGAAGGAAATTTTCAATCTTTTAAAACGTTTAATAAAGTATGTGTTTCCTAAGGCTGGCCCTTGTATTCCCTCAGCTCTTTCTGACCTGAGGCGCTCACCCCAGGTCTCCACATTATGTCAGAAGGGGCCATCAGGTGGGGTACTCATCAGCTGCAGTCGGGGCGGGGGAGGGGAGTTCATCCCTGTTACCGTGATGGGATCCCCTCTGTCTTCTGAGTGCCCCGGCAGGACCTGGGGGGAGGACACAGTCCCCCTGGCCAGAGTCCTCTGACAAGCAGCAGCCTGGCAGGAGTTCTAAATCCTTCCATGTGTCCTTGTGTGCTCTAAGAATATTTCATCTATGTGCCATGTTATGGAAAGGACTGAGAAGCACTGAACTGGGGATGAAAGGACTTCAGCCATAGGCTTTTCTGCCAGAGAACCACTTTTACATGCTTTTGAAGCTGAGGGCAGGGTCTAAAAGGCAGTGTTTCTCCAGAAGAGTATTACCTGCACCCACCCAGCTACCCACCCATCCACCCACCCACCCACTGCTCACTCGCCAAATATTGCACACTCATCAGGCACCATGCTGGATGCCAGAGAGAAAGTGTGAACAAGACGCCCTCTGAGGGTGGATTTGGGAGACTAAGGCCCAGGGAGTAGCAGGTTCCTATAGATACCCAGCATTTAACAGTTGTATCCAGATCTGAAACGGATCCCTACCTCCCAAAGCTGCCCATTGAGCATAGGCAACACCTGGGAAAAGGACCCTGGGCAGAAATGTGGCCTAAAACGGTGGTGGGGAGGTAGATCTGGCCTCCCCAGGGCCAAAGGTCAGTGGACGATGGAAATGGTCTGGTCAGCCACAGCAAAGACTGGGAAGAGGGGCCCAGGGAAGGACGCGTGGTGGGTGTGGAGCACCGTGCCCGACGCCGGCTCGTAGAATAGCAGTTCCTGGGCCTGCAAGTCCAGCAGCACGCCCAGCTGGGCTGGGCAGCGCAGCAGCCCCAGGGGCTCGTGCTGCCCATCGTGTGAGAAACAGAATTCCTGGTCGTAGCGGGAGAAGACCCAGGAGAAAGCATTGTAGCCCAGACGAGAGTCACTGCCAGAACCCTTACGGGGCAGCTGGCCTAAGGCCACACCCACCTTATAGGCACAACTGTTCTGCACGTTCACCATCCAGGTATGCAGCCCAGCCTGGAAGGAGGTGGTGGACAGGGCATTGGGCCAGTGGTCAAAGCGCTCTGGGCCATCTACACAGGCCTTGGACTTCTTGGCATTGAAGGTCAGGGTCCTTTGATCATCTGACAATTGGAGGAAGGGGCTGACAGTCCTCTCGTCGATACGTACATCCTCCGTGCCTGCCAGAAAGAATCCTCAGAGTTACCCAAGGTCCACCCTCAGCCCTATCCTTGTCCTGCCAGGTAGCAAAGGGCTTCCTTACCACTCACTGGTAGTGTGACCTCAGACAAGCCATTTACTCTCTGAGCCTCAGTTTTCTCATCTGTAAAATGGGGATCAAAATAGGACTTACCACAAGGTAGATAAGAATATAAGGATCAAATGAGATGATACATGGGAAGTGCCCAGCAATAATATGTGCTCAATAAATATGTGCTCAATGTGTGGCCATGACAACAGCAGTCACTATCTAAGACCCTCATCTATAAGCTCTGATAGAAATAAGGCCCAGAGAGGAAAAGCAAGTTGTCCAAGGTCACATACCAAGTTGGTGGCAGGGCAAAATTAAGACCCAGCATTTTGTTCCTATCTAGCATCTAGCACTGATCACACTGCATTCCAGCTGGGCAAATCTATGGCCTGCAGATCATACCCATCCTAAAGACACGGCCCCTGGAAGCCAAGAAGCATCAGATATGTAGTTTCCAACAACTAACTAAATGGTACTGCTGGCAAATCAGGCACTATCTGATACCAGATTCTAGAGAAGACAAGTTCTAGCTTGTACTAACATTTTAAGGATGGGGTGGGGTGAGGGGTGGAGGGGTAGGGTTAAAACTGAGAAAAAATTCAATCCATTAATTAACCTAATCTTTCTGTGAACTGTGCAAATACTACAACTGGGAGCATGGAAGCTTCCATCTAGCTTGGGGAAAGCCTGCTTTGAGAACCCCCACACTAGGTAGGAATTTGTGGAGGTAGGAGACCGTGTCACATTCAGCTCTGAGCCCCAGGCACGCAGCACAAGGCAAGGCCCACAGTCAGTCTGAGTCAATGTTTGTTAAGTGAGTAAGTGAGGCAAATCCAGGCAGCTCAATTCTCACTCCAGATGCTCTTCAGCTGGCCATCCATTATGTCTTCTTAAAGAGAAACTAGGCTTCCCAGAAGTAATACTGTGCTGTCTGTCCCAGTAGGGCAGGACATAAGGAGAATGTGATTTACAGGAACAAGATTTATTCTAGACCCAACTACAGAGCAGGTTGGTCTGGAAATGGGAAGGACCCGGCCTAGGTGCCCAGGCCTGTCCAGAATCTTGGCTCCACTGACAAGCGTGCATCCAGTATCGCTGGTCGTTTAAGCTACCAACCCAGATGCACCGGTCCTCAGTGTTGACCCCATAGCAAACCTCAGACAGACAGACAGAAGCCCAGCTGCTCCACCTGGTGCTGGGCTCTAGCAGCTGCTAACCTGAGAGGGACCCAAAAACCGCTGTTGCCCAGAGTTGGGTCAGTAGTAGGCTCCGAGCACACTTCTCATTAAAGTTTAATTTTTTCGACTCCTGGGGATCCAAAATGCCCTCTGCTTCCTCGGTCCTTGTACAGGAAAACAAAAACAAAAAAACAGACACATTCAGGAAGGTTCTTGAAATGTATATGGATCAATACAGGGTGACAGGAAGAACACAGGAGTAAAACCCCCTTCCCATGAGGGTAACACCAAGATTGGCAGTCAGGCCCCACACTGGAGCCCCCTAAAGGGTGCTGGAGCCAAAGAGAAGGTGGGCATTCCTCCTATGCCCTCCACCCCCACAAGGCTTAATACCAGCAAAGCAGACGAAGTATAGGGAGATAAATACTTGGTGCCTGTCTTTGAACTTGGGAGTCAGTCTGCTCTGTAGGGGAAGCCACTCGCCTGTGTCTCCAGTAAGTTAGCAGCAGAGCTGGAACTAGGACCTGGGCCTCTTGGACCTCTGTGCAGCAGGCTTTCCACCCCACTATCCTGCCCAGAGGAAAATCTCACCTCCCTCCAAAACCTGTTGCAGCAGTAATGTCACCCTTGGTTTGATCAGAAGCTACAGCCAACTCCTCTGCTCTTCAAATGCGGGATCACACAGGAAGGGACTATCAGTTATCTCCCCAACCATAAATTATTCACAGCACTTTGCTCCCAATAACTACCTCTCCTCCGCTCACAGTGAGGACTGTGTTTGGTGGGAGAGGGAATTTAGAAACAAGGAAAATTGCCATTTTTAAGCAGCCAGACTCTGGGCTTGCTGTTTTCTATACAGAATCTCACGTGGTCTTTGCTATAACCTGGGAGGTGATTGTTACCCTTACTTGACAGGAGAACAGAGATTCAGAGAAGGCGCTCAGCGAAGATTCAAGTCCTGCCTCCATGCAAAAAGAGAACAAACCCAGGCTGGACTCCAGGCATCGTTCAACAGAATTCTTCCCTTGACCTGAAGTGCAATCTCAAAGGGATGTAGAGCAAAGTGAGGAGTTGCCACAGAGCTTTGCTGACCTCTGAACTGGCATCTGAGAAAGAACTTCCCACCGCCTCTAATCCTAAAGATGGCTTTGAGATCAGGCAGCAGTTTCGTGAGCACACGCTCTCTTCCCCAAACCTCATGGCTCTGCTCATTAATGAAGGAGTGGGGAGAGGGGGTGGGGCACGTTTCCTCACAGATGCCAGTTCTTTCCAAGACTGTCACTGCCTGTCCTGGCTTGAGAGGAACGAGGTGAACAGAGCCCTAGAAACGCCGAGAGCAGGCTCTAGTAACAAAGGCTCTTTGTGGTCAGGACAACAGAGGGTCTGTTGCATCTTCTCAAAGCACTGAGTCTGGGTCTGGAGGAGCCCCAGCCATCAGGTGGGGAGAAAAGAGGAGCCAATGTGAGCAATGCTAAGCTGTCATCCCAGGGCAAATCTGAGGCCAATCACTGACATTAGACTCTAGAGGACCAGCTGGTCCAGGTACTTCATGGTACAGAAAACTCAGGGCTGCAAACAGTAGGAGTGAATTGGGGTTCGGACACAGCAGGGCCCTGGCTGGGATCAAAATGCCCAGTCTGTGGAGCAGGACCTGTTGCCATGACAGGCCCGAGCTGAGCCCAGCTGGGACATAGAAACAAAATTGGAGACAACAAAGGCATTTCTCAGATAAGTGAGTTCCCAGCTAGAAGGAGCTTGACAACTTTTGAACACGGTACTTTGAGAGTATACGCCCTCAGTCCACAGGCACAAAAACCTACAAAACAAATCTTGACCTCTACTAATAAGTTTGTAAATAGTAGTATGGATTTAGTAATTCTCAAACAACTTTGTGTGTACTAGAGACTAAACAAATAACTGTATCACTATTGTTGGGAGCCAGGGTTCTCACTGTGAAAGAAGAAAGATATAAATATAGAATGGGAGGTAAAAGAAAAACGCTGTGGTATTCCACTGGAATTAGAAGTTGTGATACAAACTCATGAATAAAAATATGGCACACATACTTCCCAGCTCTGTCTGCTATCCAGTGAAAAGGCCTGGAAGCAATGACACATCAGTAGCAATGGATATCTAATGCCCAGGTCTCAATTTTAAAATATTATTCCGCACTAAAAGGAACCAAGACTCCCTGGAGAAATAGCTGATTTCAGGGCTGAGGCAGGAAAAGAACCGTTTCAGCCTAGGACATCTTGTGCAGAATGCAAGAAAGAGCTCAAAGGATGATGGGGACTTGTCAAAAGGTTACAGCTTGGGCCGGCCGAGTGGCCCGTTGGTTAAGAGCTGGCTTGGGACGCCAGAGGGCCCTGGTTCAGATCCCACCAGTGACCAGTGACACTGCCCTCTACAGCTAAGATGCTGAACAACAGCTCAACCTGGAGCTGGGCTGCACTGAGTCGCCGGCGACGGCGTAGGCTGCAGCCCCTGTGGCAGTGGGTTGCCATGGGCTACCGTGTGTAGCCAGCAGCCAGCATGAGCAGCCCTCAAGCCGCCATGAGCGGCCGTCCAGAAGCCAGCGACTGATCTGCCTCGCCAGGGAAGAGCACAATGATGGTGCCAACTTGGGCCAGTGAAGCAACGTCCTCCACAACTAGACTGAAGAACAAAAAAACCCCCAGCAACTTGTCTGTTCCCCTTCCCCCAATTCGCCACTGCTGTACCCATCCCCCAATTCCTCAATAAAAAAAAAATCTTTAAAAAATAAAAAGTTACAGCTTGAAGGGACTCCTACTAGCCAATCAAAATTAATTATAGTAGTAATAGTAGTAGATTATAATGCACTGAATAAAATAAGAATCCATGAGACCATATTGATCCTAAATAAGTGAATGAGCAAACAAGCAAATAAATAAATGAATAATTCATGAAGGAATTTAGCATCAATGGATGCTAAAACTACTGGATGAAAGTTTGAAGGTAAACAGGCTATTTACACAAAAAGTATCTCTTCAGATTGTTTATTAATTACAAAAGGGAAGATATAGCTTTATAATGAAGAAACTTAGTAGGCATCACTTTATCCAAGTGATCAAAATTAACATCCCTGATAATGGGACAAAGTGACATCACATGCCCCCTGATTTGATATACTGTGAACACATCAGATGAAGTCAAATTGAGGAATATTCTATAAAACAACTATCCTAGACTCATTAAAAATGGGGTTTTTTTGCCACTGAGCTGCCAACAGGTGGCAGGATGGCTCAGCTGGTGAGACCACGTGCTCCTATCAACAAGGTTTCCATTTCAACTCCTGAATGGGATGGTGGGCTGCGCCCACCCACAACGAAGATTGAACATGGCACCTTAAGCTGAGCAGCCGCAAGCTGCCGACAGGCGACCGGATGGCAACTGGACTTGGAGCTGAGCTAGCTGCGCCCTCCACAACTAGGATTGAAGGACAACAACTTGGCTGTTCCCCTTCCCCAATTCCCCAACACTGTTCCCCTTCCCCAATTCCCCAATAAAATCTTAAAAAAAAAAAAATGTTTGGTTTTTTTTTAAAAGGCTAAGGAAACAATTCCAGATTAAGAGACTAGATGGATGAATCAGGAAAAAAAACAAAAACACTAAACACTGTTAAGAACTTTTTTGGCACAATTGGCAACACTTGAATATGGACTATATGCTAGCTAGATAATAGTATTATATCAACATTAAATTTCTGAACTTGATAGTTATACTATGGTTATGTAAGAGAATGTTCTTAGAAGATAAATGCCAAAGTATTGTATTTAGGGATCAAAGATCATGTTTGTTTCTGCAACTTAGTCTCAAATACTTCAGAAAAAAATAAGTTTTTATATATATACACTGATAGATAGGAAAAAAGAGAAAGTGAGCAAACATGGTAAATGTTAAAATTAGTGTTTCTAGGTGAAGTTCATTATACTATTTTTGCAACTTTTCTGTTTCAAATATTTCAAAACAAAAAATTGATCAAAATTTTTTTCAAAAATCACAGCCTAATATAGACAGACTGTATTAGCAAAAGATGGTGAAGATAAAGCAGAAAGAGAAGACTAGCAGAAGTGTGAAGGATTATCGGAGGGAAAAAGTAGTAACTAGCCAAACACACTTTATTTAAAAGGGGACAGAAAAATGAATGTGGGTGTACCCATACTGTGGAATACTTCACAGACTTTCCAAAAAGTGAGGTAGGTCTACATGTACAGACATGGAAAGACACCAAGGTAGCCTGATAAGTGATAGAACAGCAGGTATACAACAATCCCATTTGTGCTTAAAAATTATTTTTTTAAAAGGCAAAAAAACCCAAAAAAAACCCAACCCATGTATTCTCCTATGACCATACATAGGCAAGTCCAAAAGACACACATCTAACTGTTAAAACTGATTACCTCTAGGGACTGGGACTGGGAAAAGGTGACTCATTTTTAATTTTAATAGTTTTATATTGGTGGATTTTTTTTTCTTTCTTTCACACACATGTGTTGCTATTGAAACTTAAATACAAAAATAGGTAAGACTGGGCTGTGCTCTCCAAGTACAGCTCTGAAATCGTGCACAGAAGATTAGTATTTAATTCCTTGGCCTGGCAAATTACATCCTCTTGGCTACTTCCTCAGGCTCTTTGCTCTCAGCCTGTTGGGACCCAGGTAAGACCTGGTGAAAGTCTTTTTGTTATTGCATAATTAAAATGCAAATTTTGAGTGGTAATATAGACGTGTTTCAAAGATTCTTTCATCAGAGAAAGGGGGAGTTCGGTAGAGAAGACAGTACTGAGGAAGGTGTCAGGTGTGGGTCCTAGTCCCAGCTCTGAAGTTTAGGCAAGTCGCTTCCTTTCTTTGAGCCTCAGCATTTTCATCCACAGATGGGGTGGTAAACCCTCCAACAGGGTGACTGTGCAGTTTTTTAATGGGATAATGTTTAAGAAAGACTGTGGCAGCCACTGATTAATAAGTGATTATTTCACTGCCAGTACACATGAGTGTACTGAGCAGTTCTCCAAGCTAGGGACAAGAAGACCTCTATCCATTGAGCCTGGCTCCAGAGAAGCCACTCAGCTGCCTGCCCTAAGCTTTCTCCCAGGAGCAGCGGGGCCTGAATGCAATGGGCTAGATAGAGGCCTAAGGGTCATGGTTTCCATGACTGCCCAAGCAAATTACGGGGCCATACTCACCTTTCAAAAATCTCCTGCTCCTTCTGCTGTGAGAAAAGAAAACAAAGTCAGGCTTGGCACCAGAAACCCAGCAGGCAGGCAAGACTTAAATATATTCAGCGGGCATGGAGGGCTCCACATGGCCAGAGACTCTAGAATAAAAAATTCTACTCCTTCTTTAAGACACAGCACAAAGCTGTATGGGTTCTTCTTCTCATACCTCCCCCATCCTGCACTCAGAATGAATCACTCTGATTCCACGCCCTATCGTGTCCTGAGTTTCCCTCAACTACACTTCAGGACAATCACATATTTACCCAACATTTCATCCCCCATCAAGACTGTCAGCAACTAGATGGCTGGGACTCTTTCTGAATCTTCTACTGTGACTCTCCCAGTGTTTGGGACAAATGTGCTCCACATGGAAGCCATGTGACTAAACGTACAATCTAGGGCAGTCACAGAAACTGTCCTACTTAAACTGCAGTGGGACAGCTCAGTTGTTCTACATTCTCATTTCTCTGCTTGACATATTTTTTTCAGATGTCACACTGTCCCTTAAAACTGCAGGTATCTGCATATCTACATAAAATACTTTGAAAGAATGTGTACCAAAATAATCATGGTAATTTCCAGGTGATAGGATTAAACATGAGCTCTGTATCTTCATATTGGACCCTTGTCAGCTCTGCCAAGTGCAGACTTCTCTCTGTGTGCTTCAGAACTCTCCCCACCTTCCCACTTCCTTTAACATAGCTGCAACTCTTATTTATCTTTCAGGCATCAGCTTCTAAATCACTTCATCCAGGAAGCCTTCCCAACCACCACCACACTCAAGTTTGGCTTGTGGGGTCCCCAGCTCCCAGGAACATAATCTACCACAGCACATATCCCTCCACAATCTAATTATCAGGTTATGTATTTTTCTCCTCCATAAGGCTGTGAGTCGCTGACAGCTGTACCCTGTAACTCCATCCCACAGCACAATGCTTAGCACACAGCAGGCACTTAGTAAATATTTGCTCACTACTTTAAGAACAGTTATCAAGTACAAGAAAAAAAATCCATATACAAGGTGTGATTTAAAAAATACAGTGAATGCTGCTGCCGAGTGCCATCCAACAGAAAGGCAGTGATCTTCAATATGGAAAGCAGCGAACCCTTGTAACAGTGTGTGACAAGTTTCACTTGTTCGGTCCAGTCGGGTGTGAGCTACGGTTGAGAGAAAGTGTGTTTTAAACTGTGCTATAAATTACGGATCACAAACAATGCATTAACATGAAATGGGCAACGGTTTCATCCTCTATCATGACAATGCTCCATGTCACACATCGTTTCTGGTACAGCAATTTCTGTCAAATAAAAACATTATGTACAAATGGGATTTATCCTCACAAACTGGTGTTTTAAATTTATTACGAAGCACCTAATTAAATGGTTGGTCTATTTAAAAAAAAAACAAAAAAACATTATGGTGTGTCCTCATCCACCTTATTCATGGGATCTGGCACCGTGCAACTTCTGGCTCTTCCCCAAAGTCAAAATGGCCATGAAAGGTAAACGTTTTGAATTGATTCAGGACATCGAGGCAGCCACGACAGCACAACTAAAGACACTCATAAAAGAGGACTTCCAGAACTGCTTCAGACAGTGGCAAGAATGATGGGATAAGTGTGTTCAGAGCAAGGGGTAGTATTTTGAGGGGGATTGATACAATGTGTCTCTTACTGTAAAAAAAAAAATTTTTATTTATTTTTTATTTAAACATTCACCGGAGTTTTCGATCACACCTCGTAATTTTATTCCCCTGCCTCATTCCTGCTCCAAATTATCATTATCCACTCACCTCCTACAAATAAATATTCTCAGTGTTTTCAGAGTTTTTGGAGAGACTAGCCAAGTCATGCCCTCACCCTTGCCTGACTTACAATCAGCTGGAGGTCATCCATACTGGTGAGCATGTCCACCAGGCTGGTGCGGATGGTGTCGAGCTTCTGCAGAGCCTCGGCCCAGTGTACTCGCTGCGTCAGGATGCTCTGGTGGGCCCGCTCCTCTTCACCATGCACCCGTTCTAGCAACCGCTGCTCCTCAGTCTCACACAGACTCCTCACCAGACTCAGCCGCTGGATGACCAGCTCCCGCGCTGCACTGGCCGTGCTCTAACAAGGGATAAAACAAGGAAGTGGGTCCTGAAAAAGTCCCAGTCAAGACTAGAAGGGTTTGGGCTCAGCTGGAAGAAGTGCCGAGATTGATTAGCAATGTCTGCCATGGGCACTGTAATGGGCGTACAGTGCTTAAGCCATCCCAGCCCTAAGAGTTCACAAATACCGTGTAGGGTAAAGAAATTTGAGACCTAGACATCCAGGCCATGTCTCATGGAACCAGGATCACAGAATAGAAGAGCAGGACATGGCCTAGAAATCAGCTAGAATCACCAGCTTATTTTATACATGGGAATATCAAGGCCAAGGGACCAAGGTCAGAGATCATAGAATCGCAGAGCAGGAGGGCCTACAAATCATCCCCATCAACAGGATCTGTACCAACAGTGGCCCAGTCAATATTTTTTACCATGTTTGAGGACAAAAACCTCATTATTTCTTAATCTGTCCAATCCAACTGCTTCCATGGTAAAATTATATTCTGCCACACAGGAGGCCTGAAATCAGTTCTCAGCAGATGAAATTAATGTGTGTCCCCTAGCAACTGGCACACAGTAGGCACCCAAATATTTACTGAATTACCAATGGGAAAATTTTTTCTGACTTAGTCAAAAATCTGGTAGCACTCTCATGCCAAGTCAGTGACAGAGCTGGGACTAGAACTCAGTTCTCTTGACTCTCAGTACAACACTATTCCCTGACACCAATGCCTCTGGTAACCAAACCTCCCCAAAGGCAGCTGTTGCATGAAGCACCTGCACTCTTGCCAGACAAGTAAGAACAGTATCCATGAGAGAAAGTCAGGCATGGTCAGCAGCTTCCCTGAAGACTTGCTTTTTACATTGCAGGGGACAATTATCCCTATTTATTTTTATTATTTTTAAAGATTTTATTGGGGATTGGGGGAGGAGAGCAGACAGGTTGCTTTGTTCTTCTGTTTAGTTGTGGAGGATGTCGCTTCACTGGCCCATGTTGATATTATTATTGCGCTCTTCCAGGCTGAGGCAGTCAGTTGCCAGCCATTGGACGGCTGCTCACGGCGGCTCACGGAAGCTCTCGCCGGCTGCCAGCCGCTTACGCTGGCTGCCAGCCACTCATGGTAGCTTACGGCAGCCCACTGCAGCCCCACTGCAGCCTACGCCATCGCCAGCCACTCACAGCAGCCCAGCTCCAGGTTGAGCTGTTGTTCATCATCTTAGCTGTAGAGGGCGCAGCGTCACTGACCCATGTGGGAACCAAACCAGCCTGCTGCTCAGAGCTCGCACTCCCAAGCCAGCCTTTAACCAACTGGGCCACTCAGCTGGCCCAATTATCCCTGTTTAAAAGAAGAAACTAAGACCCAAAATTTTCCCAATAGGGAAAAGAGAGTGACTAAGTGGATGGTCAAGTGAACCCAGGAGTTCAGACTCCAACTTCAGTGTTCTCTTGAGTCAACATAACATAGTGGTTAGAAAACTGGGCTTTAGAGACAGTGCCAAGGTTTAAATCTTAGCCTCAAGGTTTAAACCTCACTTCCATTTACTGTCTGTGGAACTTTAAGCATGTTACTTATTCTATGCCTCAGTTTTCTAATCTGTCAGCTGAGGATAATAATAGTGCCTACCTGTAAGGCTACTATAAGGATTAAATGAGTGAATACATGTAAAGTAAATAGAACAAAGCCAGCACATGGGTGTTCAATAACATCAGCTTTGGCTCTTCTTTCTGTGCCACCTTACTGCCTTACCCACAGCAGGGGTCTCTGTAGTCATGTTTATACTGTGTGATCAGTATCAAGAACAGGCCCTGACCCAAGAGGCATCAGACACTCCCTGACTAGAAGACAACAGTCAATTTCAATACACTTCTTGAGTCATTCTCCGAAATGAAGAGCAAAGAAAACAAGAAAATTTCCCTGTCCAAAGATATGACAGCATACACTGAAAATCTTCCTAGAACAGAACACAGAAATGCTGGAAAAATAGCCCAAAGCATCCTTTTGAAAGTGAAGCTTCTCTGGCAGCTAAGTAAAGGAAATCCCCTGGAGTCCAAAAGTAGAAAGGAAACTGGAAACCAGTGTAATCAAGAGCTGAGGACTCCATTGCCCTGGGTGGAACTTGTGATTTACTTTAGAATTGTATACTCATCTAAACCATCATACAAAAATGAGAGCACAATAAAGACATCTCTAATCAAAAATGGAATATTTCCTATGAATGGGAAGGATCTGTTAAAAGACTTACTTTAACTAAAATATTAAGACCAGAGGGGCTGTTAGATTAAAGCGTTCTTATGGTATTTGTATTATTCAGGTTGATTCATTTTAGACATTGTTAAGTATTTGTGTTAAAATCTTAAGGGTGTCAAAATCAGCTACCTGCACCTGTGCTCAGACACTCTGCTTTCCCTGTTTCTGTGGATGCACTGTCCCTATGGCCATAGGGATGCTTTCCCTATGGCCAAAGCTTCCACTTGTTTGCTAGATCCCACTCCCTTTGCTGTACCTGATTTTCCCCTTTCTCTTGCATCCTTAATTTTCCCCTTTCTACTGGACAATTCCCATCAGCATACATACATAGAGTAATTTCTCCCATCTTAACAACAGAATAAAGAAACTCCTCTTGATCCCATATCCCCCTCCACTATCATCCCATTTCTTAGCTCCCTTCTACAGCAAAGCTCCTCAAGAGTTACCTGCGTCAACTAACCCACATTGCTCTTCTAGTCTCTCTGAAACCCACTCCAATCCACCACTCCACAAAACTCCTTGTCAGGATCTCCAGTGCTGTGCATGTCACTAAGTCCAATGGTCCATCCTCATGTACTATGGGGGAAGGAGGGAGGCAACGTGCAGAAGGAAATTCATAGCCACCGCCCCTTGAAGGGCATACGTGAGAGGTGTAGCCAGGGCAATGGGTCAAGTGAATAAAGGACCAGCAGTGGGGTGCAGCAGAAGGAGCACTGGCCTGCCGGTCACAAGATCCAGTTCATAGAAATGACTCTGGCAGAAGGCTGTGGGACCTTGAGCAAGTCAATTAACTGCTACGGGGCCCATTTTCCCATCTGTAAACAGGGATGTACTGCCACCTACTGCATAAATAAGACTGTCATAAAGAATACTCAATGTAAAAGTCCCTACGTTATTTTAAAATTCTGGGGCTGAGCACAAAAAATAATTAGATGGTAGAAGAATGCTACCCTTCCTGATCCATTATCCCCCAAAAAAGTCATCCAGCTTTGCTAATAGCACAATGAATCTATGAGGTTGGGATGGGAAACCTAGACTAGTTCAAACCCCTAAGACTGGGGACTTATCCAAGGAAGGCGGTTCAAGGTAGAGGGGAAAGGGGAAGAATTACTTACCACTGCTCTCTGGTTCTTCCCTGGCAGGACCTCGGCCACATACTTGTTGATGCTGGCACTCTGTAACTGCAGTCTCTCACACTGGTCCACAATCTTGTTCTGCAACACAAATACCACCATGACGTCTTGACCCATGTTGATCCATTCCATTGACTTTTTTCCTCTTACCTCGCCTCAGTCATCCATGGCCATGGTCAGATCTCTGACCTTATCATTATTGAAAACTATACCACCTCCAAAATCTTCATTTCAAAGACCCCACACTCTGCCTACCACTTCCCATCCTTCTAGATCACTAACTCTAGAATTTCCATTCCAATAATTCTTCATCTCAATTGGAGCCACCAATTCATTAGTCTTACCACTTTTCACCACCAGTCATTCCCTTTGTGGCCTTGCTTCCCTCTTTATCTTGAAATCCTGTGGCCTAACGTGATAATCACTTTCCTGCATACACTCTCAACCCTCCTTTACACGCAGCTCCCCGACTCTCCACACCTGCACCTGAGCAGAAAATGGCTTCTCAAACCGCTGTTCCCCAAGTATCCCTCCATTCACTAAACAGTACCATCAATCATCAGCCTCATTACCTAGGAAAACTTATTCTCCAAACCTACATCTAATCCATCCGTAAGTCCTATCGACCCATCCCCAACATCTCTCTGTCTCCTCTGGCCACTTCTGGTAACTTCCACACCTGCTATTCTACCCAGATCACCATTATCTCTCACAGGAACCACTGTTAGAGCCTCCTACCTAGGCTTCCATTTTTGAACCCCACAGTTAGACACTGTCAACTTTCATAAGGAAATCACATGAGGTCACTGTCCCTGATCAAAACTTGACTTTCCAATACACCACAGTGAGATGAGATCAAGCTTCTTACCTTAGCCAACAAGGCCCTACCTGATGTGACTGCACATCTCCACTCCTACCACTCTCCACACTGGCCTTTGTTTTATTCCATAAACACACCAAATTCGTCCTGACCTCAGTGCCTTTGCACCTGTTGTTTCTTCTGTCTTCAGCAGTCTTCTCCCATATATCTCTGTCTCAATCCCCAACTCCATTCACGTGTCACTTCTTCAGAAGCCTTCCCTAACCATCCCCCACCCCATTCACTCACTTTGCTTATTTTTCTCCCTTGCCCTATCACTCTCTGACTGTATATTGTGTGTTTGTTTACCTTTTTTTTAAAATTCCCCCCCCACCACCACTGGAACATAAGCACTATGACTTTGACTTATTAGTCTCCATGTTCCACTACCTAGAAGAGAGTTCTTACACATAGAAGGCCCTGAATAAATATTTGCTGAATGAATCAAACCCATTTCCTTGAACACAAGAAGTTCAGCAGTTTACAGCTGCCAAAGCTGTGAACATCACCCATGGGAGCCGGGGAGAATTTTAGAAATGAAGAAGCTGAGGCCCACAGAGAAGTGACTTGCCCCAGGAGATAGGGCCAGGCCCCCGCTTTTCCACTCCATTTCTCCATATAACAGCTGGAGCCCTTCCAAGCAGGAGTCAGCCCCTCCACTATTTCCCCTAAGAGCATTGCCCAGTTCCTTCTGCCAGAAGGCAACTCAGCTACCTCTTCTAGGAAACCCTTATAAATTCTTCCCCCCACAATTAGAAATTAGCCTTACGCTTCACCAGTCCAAATACAAAGTTATTGAATTGAGTTGAATGGGTAGAAGCTCTTCACCACACATCACAGGACTGAAGGAACTAAGACTGAGGGAGCTTCTGAAAAGCTACAGGAATCCAGACGGTAAGGGAGAAGTTGTTTCAACTGGCGCTGTTTTTGCCCAGTTTAGGAACAATCTTGCCCTGGAGCGAAATTTCTTTGCTGGCTGGAGGGATAGAGAAAGAAGTGTACAAAAGCCACAATCTAATCAAAGTTGGAGGGAGAAAGGGCAAGACACACCTCCCTCAAGGCAAAGAAGATGAATATGCCTAGGGCTTCTGGAGGGTTCGGGGAAGGATCCCCAGGAAAAGCGCATTCCAAAAACAAGTACCAGGACGCCCACTCTGTCCCAGCCTTCACCCCTTCCATCACTCAGATTCAGCCCTGACGGCAGCTTTTTAAAAAAAGGTTTTCATGAAATTCTCACTCCCATTAACATCACTTCCTCCCTCCAACCACTGAAGCAAATAGGTGGTTTCCTCTGTCCTACCCAATGACTGCCCTGGTCCAGCCCCTGAACAGTAGGAACCTTGGAGGAGTTACTGCCTGTTCTGGGCCTGTTTCCTCATCTGTAAAATGTGGGTAGGACCATCACTTCAAAAGCTTGGTCTGGATGGAATGAGATGAAGGATAGTTAAATGCTTTGGAACTTGCAAAGTTTCCATGCGTTATGCAAGTTTATTAAACCACACCATCCAAGTTTATTTTCAGTATCACTGTTGTGGCTAGTGGTGAGAGGTAGGACCAAGCAGGAGCTTACAGGTGTCACTAAATAACTGAATCCCTCCTGGCCCCAGCACCCTGTCAGATGTGGTTATTACAGTCCAGTCTGAGTAGGCAAGTCCCCAGTGGGAGCCCTCAGCCTCACAGCTGGGCAGAACTCCAGGAAGAGTTTAGGAGAATCAAGTCTTTTAATCAAATTGCAAGGAAATCCCCAGAGGCCACAGGTAGGGTGGAAGGAGGGAGGACGCCCCAGGGTGACTTCAACTCTTCAATCTCTGCAGCTCAGGGGAGGGATGGTGACAGGAAGGTGACCAGCCTAGAGCCAAATGTAGGATGGAGGTGGAGCGAAACCCTTGGTGAAAGGTTCCAGCAGGAACCTCCTGATAGCCTCCCCTCCCCCTCCGTTTACTCAGGTGAAACTAGCTTGAAGTAGAGTCAAGGCCAATCCTAAAAGGGAAAAGAAATCACCTCACCAGGAAGCCTGAAGGGTGGACCAGGGGAGAGGTTTGAAGCTGTGGGGCTGAGTGTGGAAGGGCTGGGTTTTATCGGAAGTCATCTTCCACGCCGGTCGGAGTTGGGGCAAATGGAGCAGCACAGCCCTTTATTGTCCAAGGCCAGGCCTGGCTCCCAGCCCATCAACGGGGCAACGGAGAACTTGGGCAGCTGGATCTCCCGCTGTGTGATCCCATTATCTTATTTATATCGCACAACTCTATTAAATGCGCGCTATTGCTGCCGCCAAACTACAGATGAGGCCACTGAGTCTCATAGAGTTACGAGATTCACAAGGACAGAGGGAGGTGGGATTCGAACTCGGGTCTACCTGACTCCGGAGGCCACGCCCTTAACCGCCTCGTTCTACAGGCAGCGCCCCTGCGGAGCCTGGGCTGCAGGACCCGCCGCCGGGGCAGCCCGGCCCCGGGCTCCCGGGTCCCCCGCGGGGTCCCTCCGGCGCGCCCTCCCTCCAGAGCCCCCCGCCTTCCGGCGCCCACGCCCTCTCACCCGCAGTTCTTCAGCGCGCTCCGCAGCCGGACGGATGCGGTGTCCCTTACAGCGGCCGCCCAGCTCCGCGCAGGCGGCGCACACCGGCCGTCGCTCCGAGCAGCAGAACCAGTTCAGAGCCTGGCCGTGCTCGGGGCAGAGCGGCCCCGGCTCGGACCCCGGCCCGGGTGCCGGTCCCGGTCCCGGCCCCGGTCCCGGCTCCGGTCCGGGTCCCGACCCCGGCCCCGGCCCCAGCCCCGCGCTCTCCGCGGACATGGCCGAGCGCCGACCCGGCGCCGCGCGCTCCACCTGTCGCAGGTGGCTGCTGGGCAGGGCCTCCCTGACCCCGCCCCCGGGCCCAGGCGGCCGTCCCGCGCGCGGCCACCGCGCTTCCTCCCGCCCAACTCGCGCCGCTCGGCGACAGCCCGCCCAGCACCCTCGACCCGATCCCTGGCTCACATCCCACCGACTTCAGCCGCCTTTTGATGTTTTTTTTTTTGTTTTTTCTGAATTCTATCGCGTTATATGTGTGTTTGTTGTATAACAAACATGAAACACCAAGTGTTAATGTAACCGTAGGAAACTTGATTGAGCACTTGTAAATACCAGACTTTTGCTAAGCGCTTTATAAATGTTCTGTCATGTAATACAACAGCTTTTTTTTTTTTTTTTTGAGAGGCAGCTTTAGACAAGTACTAGCTTAAAGGTAGGTTTTGGCTTCAGACTGGGCTCAAGTCCCATGTAACTGCCCACTGGCTGAGTACCCTCCAGGGCCTCAGCTGTAAAATGGAGATAAGGAGGGTGCCTACCTCACAGACCTGTGCTGAGAATTAAATGTGTTAAAACACTTTAAACAGTAACTGGAGCACAGACAGCGGCTGCAACTTCTTAGCGGCTAAGCATACGCTAATAGCACAAGGGAAGTACTGTGATCCCGATTTTTATGGAGTTTAAGTAACTTGCCTGGGGTCACAGTTACTAATTGGTAGGAATGACATTGTAACCAGACAGTTTGATTTATGATTAATGAGTAATAATTTTTAATTGCATTTTAATATCCAATAATTAACAGCTGTGTTAGGCTGAGTTTCCCCAAGGTATTTAATCCAAATTTTCTTAATTTGAAAAAATTTAAAACTAGTATTGAAAAAAAAAATGATGCATGTGTATTGAAGAAAATAGACTATGCAAATAAGGACGTGGATGAAACACCCATCCCCAGAAAAAAACAACAACACTGCTAATATGTACCTGAGCTGTCTTGGGGCTTTTTTTCTTTGGATCTGATAAATCAGTAAGCCCAAATTGAACTGCCCTGGGGCTCTGGTCCAGTCCAGTCCTCCTGGGCACACAAGATGAGCACTGCTCCCCAACCCCCAAACCCCATTTTAGGAGGTCTTGCCAGAGGGCTGAGGAGAGAACTCAGCCAAAGGGAGGAGTGTCAGAGGGAATTCTGAGTACATCAGAACTGGACGCTTGTGAAAGCAAAATCAGAATGAGAAACATCACTACATCCCACGGCATGTTGGAGCTCAGGCATCTACCTCTACCCTGAGGTGTCTCTAAGAGGCCACTACAAGAGGGGAAGAGAACCCTTCCCTTCTCTCAGCCCCCACAGCTTCAACCCCTGAGGGTAAGGACAGCTAACCAAGCCAGAGCTATGCGTTCCTGGCATCAAAAGAAGTTTCTAGTGCAATCCCAACGGGAGGATGAAGACCTCATCACAGCATTTACCCTCTTCTAGGGGTAGGGAAGGAAATGAGCCACCATAATTAGAGATTGTGGTTAGAATCTTTGTTCTTAGGGCTGGGGGTGGGGGAAACTATTAGCTCTTATGGTAAGAACAAAGAAAACAGAAGGAGGTGATTTTGTGTGAAAGGAAAAAAAGATTGTGGAGGGTAGGGAGTAGATGAAGGGGTTAAGGTCCTTGGGGAAACAAAGTGGGGCCTCTTTTCATTGGGTGTGGCCCTGAAGCAGTCAGTGGCCCTAGGAGGGCTGGAGTCAGGAAAACAGTATAATCACCAGAAATCTTTCCAGGCAGAGGGACTAGAAAGTGTAACGGGCTTAGGTGGGAATGGGTTTACTTTTATAAAATTGGGGTCATCTGTTCCACCATTCAGAGGCCGAGTTAGACTGAAACTGGAAAATCAGCCCCTTCCCTTAATGTGCATCAGGCCCTGCCTGAAACAGGGTTTCTACACGAGGCCTCAGGACACTCATAAACCCCCACGTGGTGACTCTCAAGCTTTATCAGGCTTCGGGTGGCAGGGTTGTGAAGCAGGCCGACTTTCCAGTGAGATTCTCATTCACCGAGTCTGGGGTGGAGCCAGAAATCTACACTTGTAGTAGTGGCACTGAGACTAGGATGCAAATAAGCCCTCTGACTACTACAAACATTGCCCTAAGGCAGTGGCCACCCATTAGTAGGTGGCTAAATTAATTCAAGGGGCGAAGACCAGCATTTAAAAAGAAAATAAAAAAATAGGAAACATTGCTCATAGTAAGGGTTTTTTGTTTCAGTTAAATGTGGTACATATACAGGTGTGAGCACTGGGGTTGAAATATTTCTTTCTGAGGGTCATGGTCAAAAAAATTTGAAAGCTGCTGCTCTAAGGTGACCTCTGGAGCATTGGTGGGAGTGGGAAGACCTGTACTTGAACTTTAGGGCTTGCCTACGCAGGACACCCTGAGCTGGGGACAGAAAAGAATGGACACCTTTGTTATACTTTAGTCATTCAACAGTTTTTCTGAGCACCTACCTATGTCGAGCTGTATTTAAGACAGTGAGGATACAACTGTAAAGAACAAAGTCTACTCTCCTGGACAAATAAAACAAATGGGAATGTAATATAATGTCGGTAAGTGATAAAAGCTACAAACAAAGGGCCAGCCAAGTGGCTCAGTTGGTTAAGAGCTCACTCAAGAGTGTGAGCTCTGAGCAACAGCGGTTCGAATCCTGGCCTGAGCTGAGCAGCTGCTGAGCTGCCAACAGGTGGCAAGATGGCACAGCTAAAAAAAAAATTAAAAATTAAAAAAGCTACAAAAAAAGACTCAGGCATTATAGGAAAGAGAGCTGGATGGAGGTGCTGATCTAGAAAGGATGATCTAGGAAGTCTCTTGGACGAGAGGCATTGACTGGAGCTGTGCCCTGGATGAAGAGAGCAAGCATGCCTGGAGAGTGTCTGAGGAAGCAGCTTTCCAGGCAGAGGGATCAGCAAGGGCAAAATGTCTTTGTATGCCATGAACTCTGCTCCCTCCTCACCCAAAGAACCGTAGACTATTTACATTCTGAAAAGGTGCTACAGGTATATTTACACACCCTCACAAGTGGTAAATTATTCATTAGACCCTTACTTATTACATAGCAGAGATGTATGTGTTTTTATAAAATTGGGATTATCTGTACATTTTGCTCTGTAACCTGCCTTTTCACTTGCTCATTTGTGACCTTTGGTTCTGGACTTTTTTTTTTTTTAACCTTTTTGGTCGTGAGCATTTGGGAAAGTCTATTGGAAAGGACTATTCTTCCCTGGCCTTTATTGTCACTCAGGTCTGCTCTTCAACCACAGACCCAGCCCTTGTCTGCCTGCCTGGTAGAACCCCTGGTCAACCAACTGGGCTGGCTCCGCCTCACCAGGTCCCCATGCCTCCTTCCTCCTCAGTCCCTGATCCAACCACCAGCTCTTGTGTCAGGGCTGGAAGTCATCTGACTGGGGTTTGCATCGTTTCCAGGAGTGGCAAGAAGACTGTCAATGCTGTGACTTCTTTTCTCTTGTGACATTTTCATAGCACAACCAGCTTTGACTGTCACCTTTAAGAGGAACTTGGTGGCCTGCCAATGCAGACAAACTCAGACCACATGGGTTTCATGTGATGAAGTCCAGGCCCCCAAGGAGAGAGTCCTTTCTGCTCTAGCCAAACCAGACCAGACCAGATGAGACCAGATCTCATCTCCAGAGGACCAGCACACTTCAGAGGAGGGATAACATCAAACTGGGCAAGTCCAGGAGAGAATAAGCAGTTCAGGCAGTAGAGAGCCATGAGCTAGGGTTATATTTATATAAAGCAGAATTCAAGGCACTGGTAGTGTCAGGTTGGGAAGTTGAAAGGTGACAGAGAAGGAAGGGGTACATGAAACTATATTGTTTACACCCATAGCATTCTATCTTTTGTCCCAGTTGGCTGTCCACAAATGCCTTCCCCTTTCGTTCTTTATTCAAAAATACTCAGTGATCACCCACCATGTGCTAGACTTGTGCTGCTCAATACCAGAGCTACTAGCCACATGTGGCTACTTAAATTTAAAGCTATCATTAAATACAATTTAAAATTCAGTTCTTCAATTACACTAGCCACATTTCAGGTGTTTAATAGCCATGTGTGGCTCAGGGCTAGCATATTGGACAGCACAGATATATGTAGATTGTTCTATCGCTGTGCTAGACACTCACTGTATTAGACACCAGCAGTAAACACAGGTGTAAATAAGACTCGGTCGCTGCCCACATGGAGCTTACAGGCAAGTGGGAGAGACAAGTTAATGAAAAATCATGCTATGTTGGGGAATGTATGGGGGCTTTGGAAGCACAAAGGAAAGATAGCTAACTCAGTCTGGAGGAGAGGAATGGTTAGGGAAGACGTAAGGGTAGAGAGGGAGATGGCCTCTGAGTTGAGGATAAACAGTTATCCAGACAAAGATAGGTGAGGGGATGTAAGGAGATGTTCTGGGCAGAGACAGCACCACATGCAAGGATTCAAAGGACAGCAAAACGAGCCAGGGAGCTGTACGTAGTTTCGACCATTGAAGCACATAGTGTGGCAGAGGTAGAAGATGAGGCTAAAGATATATACCCAGCCTTATAGACCTAACAAAGGAATCTGAACTTCACCTTGGAAATCAGTTATCTTTTGTGTATAACAAACCACCCTGAAGCTTATTGGCTTAAAATGACAACTTTTTATTTGCTCACAACCCTGAGGGTTGGCAAATCAGGCTGGGTTCAGCTGGGCTGTTTTTCTGATGGTTATGTATGTGGTTGCAGTCATTTCATGGCTCAACTAGGGCTGGACAGTCTAAAATAGTCTCACATGTCTGGTACATGGTGCTAGCTATTGGATGGACCATGTCTTAAGCAGGCTATCCTGGGCCTCTTCCCATGGTGGCACTGGTCGAAGACAATGAGAGCAAAACTACAAAGCCTTTTGAGTCTTAAACTCAGAAGTAGCACAATGTCACTTCCACCACATTCTGTTGGTCAGAACAAGTTACAAGCCCACCCCTGATGTGAGAAGCTACAAAGAATATGTGGCTATTTTTAATCTATCATCCCCAGGATGATGTTGGTGGGTAAAGAGAAGTGGACAGATTATTTTTAGGATATTTAGCAGGCAAAGCTGAGAAGTCTTGGGGATTGTTGTGGAACAAGGAAGAGACGATGAAGTTACAAATGACTCTTAGATCCTTGGCGTGGGTGATTGGTGAATGGTAGTGCCCCAAACTCAGAAACAAAAGAGGAAGAACAGGTTTTGGGGGAAAATGTTTCCAGTGTGAGTCATGTCAAGAATGAGGTGTTTTTACACAGCCAGGTGGAGATGGGCAGGAAGCAGGTGGATATACAGGTCTGAGAAAAGTCTGAGTAAAGATACCTAAGTTTGGAAATCTCAGGTGTCTCTGGGCTACATCCCGAGAGCTAAAGCATCTTGAGAGCTGGGGTCTGGTAAGTCAACTCGGTTGCTGCCCTGAGCCTAGCCGAGTGCCCCAGGGCAAAGCTATTGGTCTCTCCTGGTTGAAGATTGCCAGGCTGTTATGGGGAAGAGGGACTAAGTTTGTAGGGAGAGCCCTCAGCTCTGAACTAAGATCGGTGTTGCAAGTGGCATGGGGGTAGATTCCAGCCCCTGACAGGAGGAAGTCTAACAACAAGCCACTGACTCAGAGAGTAATGAATGCATCATCACCAAGGGAGTGTCAACAGGGACTTAGAGAAACCCCACTAGGGATGCTATGAAGAAGACTCCCTCTCTGGGTTGGCAGCCAGACCCAATCGCCAGCCTTGGTATTCTGTGAAGGTCAATTTCCTTCACCACCTCTACCCTCGTTCCCACAAGCACCTAACTTTCAGAAACTTCACAAGTTTTCATAGAAGGCAGTTCTCCTGGGAGATCATCAGCACTGCAGGAGTCACCTACTAGGGTGCAAAAGAAATGTTGGCTGGGATCCCTGCATTCATTCATTCATGCATTCATTCATTCAACAAACATTTAATAAGTCCCTATTGTACACCAAGTCCTGTGCTATGCACTAGGATTACAGAGATGAATGGACTCTAGTCTGGAAGCAATGTGACTGAAACTGCAAAAACTTTCTATTGTAGCTGCTGTTAGTTTCCAGAACTGTCTTTGCATTGGATCTCAAACAGGTATTAAGGGATCTCTTTGCTATGGTGGTGGGCTGTAAAGGTTTGATGAAAGGAATAGGGGAATGGGGGCTCTGGGGAAGTGTCCAAAGGAGGGCACTTTGCCTGGGTGGAATCAGGGAAAACTTCAAAGAAATAAAGCAACACCTTTATCTAGGCGAATAACAATTTAAAAGGTGGCATTTGTTTTTTCCGTGACTATTACGGTGGTACCCACTTCCTTTTACTATATAGATTCTCTAGCAGCGTGGTCTTGGGCACAGCTGCCCTCTTCTCTGGAACCTCATCAAGGCAAGGTTAACAATAAGAAGCAGGGCGAGGCGCTCTCGCCTCGGCCCTTGGTAGATGCCAGGAGAGCGGAACCGCGGTTCCGCAGCAGGCGGGGACGCCCGGAGGCTTTTCGCCGAGACTCCCACGCTAGCGACGCGCGCCTGGTTGCTAGGGGCGGAGGCAAAGCAGGCTGTGGAGCGCGGAGGCTGCGAACGCCCTCTGGCTCCGCGACCCACCGGCCTCAGCTCCGGGCTGTGCAGCCCGCGAATGGGTACGGATCCCGACGGGGAGGAGGGGCTCAGCCGGCGGGGGGAAGGTGAGTCCTCGCGCTCGAAGCGAGGAGAAAGTTCCGAAGACTGGCCTTGGGTTGAGTCGCGCCAGATTCCCATCTTGGTCGCCCACCGCCTCCCCCCCCCACTAGCCCCCCAACACACATCAAAAATAAGCTTTGGCGGTCCGCATGGACAGGGCGAGGGGCATTTGTGATCTAAAAAACCACGAAGGAAAAACTGCATACAGGTTATCCCCAAAGCTTGTGGCAACCTTGGGATCCTGGCCTAGAGCAGACTCCCTGTGTGACTCTGGACAAGACCCTATTATTCTCTGGGCCTTGGTTTCACCTATCTGTACTATTAGAGGGTTGAATCAGACTATCTCCCAGGTGCTTCTACCGTGATTTTGTGTTTGAGTTTGGTGACATGCCTTGGTCTCCCAGAGTGTGGGTTACATGTGTGCAGAGGAAGATACGGGGAGAGGGACTGCGATATGAAATCAGTGTTTACATAAACAGTGGACCAGGGGTCCAGGGAAATAAGGTCCGGTTCCCCAGCTCTGCCTCTGTGTGATTTTGAGCAAGACACAACTCTGAGTCCCGGTTTCTTCATGGAAAATAATAGTTGGATATATGCTGCAATATATCAGTGACTATGACACTGGAAAGTTAAAAGAGAATTCTCTGAGTTATGTTTAGGGTGACCATTGGGTATCTCAAGGTGTTTGGAAAGCAAATTGGGGCAGAAATGCATCCTGGGATTCAGATTTAGGCCCAGTTCCATTAGGAACCGACAAGGACATCCAGAGCCATAATTGAGTTTATGGCTTTTGCAAGTTCTCTCCATTCCATCCTTTCCAGGCCTGAAATTGGATGGAGCAGGGAAAGGTTTGCTGTCGAGCAGTTTTAAAGGACCCTTATATTGTTGGGTCCTTAAAAAGCTTCTTGTCAAGAAGACTCTTCACCTTAGTATGCCTTTCATTCATTTCTTCATCCATTTAACAGATATTTCCTTTGCATCCATTCTCTGTCCAAGGCTATGCTTAAAGCACAAATAAAAAAATGAACAAGACAGTATTCCCTCCTCTCAAGTATATTACATGTTCACAATATAAACAGTGGAAGATAACTGAATAATATTTTCATTTCTTAGATCAGTCAACTCATAATAAATTACAACATGGACATTAAGTACATGTACTTTGTTCTCGAGATTTTAAAATGCCTTCGTACTGTATACAATATAATAAATTCTTAGCCTTAGTGGTGTAATCAATCACTCTGGTCGGGACAAAATTGGCTTCAGTTTAATATCCTCCATTCTCATATATATATATATATATATATATATATATATATATATATATACACATATATATATGTATATATATACATCCATCCATTTGTGTATGTTCTCTGTGTATATTTGTTACTTATGTTTAATATATGTGTGTTAAGACTAGTAGTAGTAAGGATGAAGTTGCTACTTTCAATATTGCAATCACTGTTAATCTAGCAATTATGTTAGTAACCATCATTCACTATCAACTGTTTGCCAGGGTGAACTGAGGGCTTTGTATGCACTACCTTTTGTAGAGATGCAGTATAGTATGCTGGTCAAGAGCAAGGCCTCTGGTGTCAGACTGCCTGGGTTCCAGTTTCAGCCCTGCCACTTTATTTGCAACTAATTTGTAAACTTGGGCAAGTTATTTAACATCTCTGTGCCTCACTTTTCGCATCTGCAAAATGAAGATAGTAACTATCTGTTTTAGAGGCTGTGGAATAGATTAAATGAATTAATAAACATAAAGCACTTAAAATAGTCCTTGGCACATTTTTTTTTAAAGATTTTTACTGGGGAATTGGGGGATGGGAACAGTGCTGGAGAATTGGGGGAAGGGGAACAGACAAGTTGCTGTCGTTTTGTTCTTCAGTCTAGTTGTGGAGGACGTTGCTTCCCTGGCCCAAGTTGGCACCATCATTGCGCTCTTCCCTGGCGAGGCAGATCAGTCGCAGGCTTCTGGCCGCTTACAGTGGCTGCTGGCCGCTCACGCTGGCTGCTGGCTACACATGGTAGCCCATGGCAACCCACTGCAGCAGGGGCTGCAGCCTACGACATTGCCATAGACTCACAGCAGCCCCGCTCCAGGTTGAGCTGTTGTTCAGCATCTTAGCTGTAGAGGTCAGTGTCGCTGGCCCTCATATGTGGGATTCGAACCGGGGCCCTCTGGTGTCCCAAGCCAGCTCTTAACCAACCCGCCACTCACCGACCCTCCTTGGCACATCTAAGTGCTATTTTTAATCTTCACAGAAGCCCAATTATAGAGTTATTATCCCATTTTACACATAGGAAACTGAGACTTAGAGAGGTTCAACAACTTACCCAAGGCCCCAAAAGCAATGTAATCAGACCTAGCCTTAATAGTTTGAATTCTTAAAAAATAGAGTTGTTAAAATGCAATAATACTGGTTTCTTCTTTGTGGATATTTATAATGGAAATTCTGGACTAGAAGGCAAGAGGTCTACCTAATTATAATTTTGAGTACATAGTGTTTCTGTCCTCATTCTCCAGGTTTTATATGTGATTTTGAAAAGCTCTTCCATCTCAAATTCTATGATTCATACTTATTAAAGTATTATTTTAAACAGGAGAAATTGCCTTTCTCACAAAAAACAGTAAGCTCTGAAGTAAGAAGTCACCTCTGATGATTTTTGAACAGAAGTACGAGTAAAATAAAAATATTTCATGATGCTTTTAAGTATATTCTTTTTGCACATTTAAAAATAGATGTATAATTAACATGGTACACTTTCTCTAATTATTAAAATGTACGAGTTATAAAATTTGGGAATTTTCTAAGCTATCTCTTTCTTTGTGAGGGAAAACTACACTTAAGTCTTTAATTAATATAGTCTGTTATTTAAGCTTGTAAATCTTTCATTGCAAACATATGCTTAGACAGAGAAGAGATTAACTTAAGCATCTTCTCACTAATTACAGAGGTTAAGAAGTGGCTGCCTGAACTATTTTGCAAAGAATAACCATTACAAAGCATTGAATACAGCAGTTCACCAAGAAGATCCTGTTGGTTTGGGGGTAAGTCATTCCAAGTTATCTTTTCATTAGAATGTCCCATGAATACTCTTCAAGGGGGAAGCATGGCTCTCTGAAGATACCAGCTAAGAATCTAATCAGTTTTTAGCAGAGCCTATCCATTTATAGCATCTGCAGTTTCCAGTGACCTAGATCTATGGATGGCATCTGTCCTTAGTTTGATGACAGTGTTGAAAAATGGGTTAAGCTGGCAGATGGGACACCCTACAACCTCTGTCTGTCTACAAACAATACAACATTCCAAGCTGTTTGCAAACTATCCTGGAATTTTTCCTGTCTGCACATCTGGTGCTTATTATAGAGAATCCTAGAGTGTCTGAACTGGAAGGGACCTCAGATTCACTACTTTACAACAAGTGTTTTGTCACACTGTGGGGACACTTAAGGGACAAAAATGAATATGACAGAGTCCTTCCTTTTAGGGAGAACATAGTCTACTAAAGGTCATTTAATCTGATGTCACATTTTATCAATGGGGACGCTGAGGTGCAGAGTGGGGAATGGAGGAACTCAGGGTTACATAGTGAGATGAGGCAAAGCTGGGGCTAGAGCCCCAGGGATCTTAATGCCACTCACAGTGTTCTTTTCATTGTACTGTGCATCTGTATTGGTTACCTATTCTTGGCAGGTGGTCAATTCTGGCAACTTCTCTTTATGTAGGCTGGAATTCTTCTGGAAAGTTCTATTTGTTAATGGTAATGAGATGATTGAGAATAGTTGGTGAGTGTTAGCTGCTGTTCTCCCTGTAGACTCTTCTTCCTAGGACTAGGCTGGTTGTACCCACAAGAAACTCATCGCCTAGAACTTGTTTAAGTAGAACCCCAGAAGAGATGGGGACAGGGTACTCCCACCTCCCTAGTTACTTCCCTCTACCCTCTGGCATCTCAGGGAACACAGAGGACACAGAGGAGCTGAGATTAGCCCCTAATCACATACCTTTAGTCCCAGCAGATGTCCACACTGGCTGCATCTTCCGGCTTCTCTTTTTTCTGTCTCTGTTTAACCAGTACAGGACCTGCACAAATTAGGTGCTTAGGTGTTTCCTGAATGAGTGTATGGATGAGCATCTGTCTTTCTCTTTAGTTCTAGCCTTGTTAATTCCTGGGGACAATATAAGCAAATCTGGAAAACATTTAATTCTTCGTATTTTAATATAGCATATCATGCATTATTGATATTATTTCAGTTCTAGGTCAGTGGTTCTCAAACTTTTTTGCCTCAGGACTCCTTTTCACTCTTAAAAATTATTGGGACCTCAAAGAGCTTTTGTATTAGTTTTGTTTTTGTTTATCTGCTAATGCTTTATTGTAGGGTGTATTCCCAGGGCCATAAGAGTGTGAGGCAGGGAAAGGAGGAAAAGCAGATGTATGCAATTAGTCTTTTTTCAAAAAAAAGGATATGTTTTTACATGACCATTGTCGGGGAGGAGCAAACTTTCCTTTACCCTCAAGGCTCTTTCGACTAGTCTAATAATCAAATAGACATGAGGCCGATTAGCAAGAGAAAATAAGCAAATTTAATACATACATATGTATGGGAACCCCTTATCCATGAGAGAGTCAGAGAGCCCACATGCAGGAGAGGTTCAGAGATGGAAAGGAGGATTGGAGTATATAAGACATCCTGAGCTAGGAATGAGGTAAGGTGCCACTGGGGTTTCAAAGGGTCCTTGCAGAATGATAAGAAAAGCAGATATTTAGTAAATAGAAGTTTGCCCTGCCCTGTAGATACATCAGAAGACGTTATCTCCGATAATCTCTCCTGGGCTAGGCCTCTAATTCAAGTTCTTCTAGGTAGTTAAAGGGAGGGCCAGAAGTTTCTCTTGAGCCTGCAGCTAAAGTTGCCTTTAGCTCAGAGTAATGTGCATACCGCTGAGGCACATCTTGGGGTGCCTCCTTCTGAATCCCCACGCCGTACTACCATCATTGTGCCTAACAGAATTAACGGTTTGTATTCTTTTTACTGAACAGGGAACACGGCTTTCAGCGGCCACAAAGTATGCTGCCACTCAGGTGCCATCTGAACCAAGCTCCTCCTCAGGTTTTGTGTAGGTTCTGTGCCGTGATGGGGAAATTGCAAAGCAAACTGAAACACAGCACTTATAAATACAGGTACTGCAGTCCTACCTTAGGATACCAAGTGTTATCATGCCCCACTAAAATTCTCTGCTAAACAAAGAGAAAGCTCAGAGCAAGCATTGATGACCTTCCCTGAACAGTTAGCTTGGTCTGTTTTCTTCTGGATAAGAAACAGTCAACTCAGTAGCTAGTGTCTGCAGCCACACAGAGAGGCACCCTGCATCTTTGGAATAATCTTTAAATGAGCAAAGACTCCTGGCTTCTTGGCTTCAGGATTCCCCTTTATCAGATTCAGTCATTCTGAGCATTTACAGGGTTAATAACAGCACTTCTGGCAATGTCAGTGGGTCTTCTTTCCCTTGTCCATCTTTCTCCTCAGCCTGGCCTGAATTGCTACCTTCGCTCCACCCTTCTTCCCCTTGCTCCACTGTGCACGCCCGTACCATTGGGCCTCTCATTTTCCATCCTCTCTTTAGCAGGCCTGATGGAATTATAGAAGACAGAATTCATACCAAAGCTTTTCAAGAGTATACCCCAGCTCACGTGGATACCGTCTCTGTTGTTGCTGCTCTGAACTCAGACCTTTGTGTCTCTGGAGGAAAAGATAAGGTGGGGTTTGCAGTGCTTCCCAGGGAACCAACTTATTGCAGAGAAGGGAAGAGGTGTGGGAAGGAAGTACTGGTTTTGCATTTCTGGCGGCAGTGTTGAGTCGAGTAAACATGGGCTTTAGAGTTCGACAGACTGGGTGTAAGTCCCCGCTCTGCCACTTCCTATCACTTTGGACAAGTCTTTTGAGTTTCTTGAGCTTCCGCCTCTTATCTATTAAATGGGAATAGTAATGCCAACCTCACAGAACACTTGTGAGGATTAAATGGTAAGATCCTTAGCATTATGCCAGGCCACCCACATGCTTTTTATAAATGACAAATGTTATTATTTCAGCCAATCCATTTTTACACCTATGCACAGACGCAGGAGTTAATTGTCAGCAAAAGGAGCCTTCTGGTCTCTTCTTTTATGCTGCTCTTTTGCCAAATCCCCACCTCGGTGTGCTTCGTGATTCCTCTCTTCTCTGTTTTTGTGCTTCCTCCAACTGTCACTTTGGATCTGGTTGCTTTCTCGCCCTCATATTTGGACCTATCATAGCCCTCACAGCTAGGATATTGGTAGTAAAAATGTTGATTTTTTTTTTTTTTTAGTAAATAATGCCTCTCATTTTCAATAGCCTTTTAGAACGTTCAAATTCCATTTTCACACTGTATTTCACTGATTCTCAGACGCACATGTCTTCCCATTTTAACACTCCTGAAATCAGTATGCTTCTACAAATTGATAATAAAGCATGGTATCATGATTTCTTAGTAGTATTTTATCTTAAAATCCATATCATCTTAGACATATGAAATATTATTTATGTGCTCCTCAGCTGTCGGGGTAGATGGGCAGGGATTAGCGTCTCCATTTTGCAGATTAAGAAACTAGGATTTACCTAGGTCAAGTGCTAACATGCTCCGAGACTGGGCCAGAGAATGCTTTTGAAATCCAGTTTAGGGGGAGAAATGCTTACAACAAAATATTAAAGTATACACCTGGAAAAAGGATGGAAAAAAAAATTAATGATTCTCTGTGGCAGATGGGATATGGATGATGTTTTTTGAAATAAAAAAAAAGTGCAGTGAGTTTCATAACAATGTGAATATACCTTACACTACTGAACTGTATACCTAAAAATGATTAAGATGGTAAATTTAAAAAAAAACAAAAACTAAACTAAAAGTACATTACAGTTAGGGAAGAAAACCTAATCCCATGTAGCAATCTCCTTCAGCATCTACAACAAGAACCTTAACCTGAATCAATTCCCCTTGGGGAGTGTTATCCAAAACCTATCAGTAAGGCTCAGAGGGGTGGCCTAGGAGCTGGGGAGAGACAGAGGAACAATCAGGAGGAAACAAAGAAACTCTAAGTTCACGATATGACAAGGGACACAATAGAACCCTAGAGCTTGATGCAAGTCCCTTGACAGAGAGGGAGAAATTAGGTAGAGAATGAAGTAAAGGTTTATTGTTTTAGTTAAATAAAAATATACAAAAATATTTTAGTTCAACTAAAATATACTAATGACTCTCTGCAGACAGTTGTGGCCTATGATTGGAAAACTGGAAACGTGGTGAAAAGGTTCAGAGGACATGAACGTGAAATCACCAAGGTAATTGTCAAATGATTATTATCATGGAGGGAATTTGGAGCTGAATAAAGGAATATCTAAAAGGTTCAGACAGTAAGAGTGATTGAATATTCAGTCTTAAGGAAATACGCCAGGGCTTTATTTGATACAGTGAAGTCCTACTCCAGCAAGAGTAGAGCGAACCACTCACTTAGCCATTGGTACAGGTATATTAGACATAATTTTTCTTTGTTATTAAGCCTTTAATAACTCAGATGATAAATATTATAGAGAGTAACTCTCCCTGACCGATCCTAACTCATCAGGGAGATGTACTGAATGAAGGCTTACTGTGCATTTACTATAGTTAGAAAAATGACAGAATCTCTTTAATTTTTTTTTTTTTTTTAGCTGAGCCATTCTGCCAACTGTTGGCAGCTCAGCTTGGGCTGAGAATCAAACTGCTGTTGCTCAGAGATCACACTCTTGAGTGAGCTCTTAACCAACTGAGCTACTCTGCCAGCCCTAGAATCTCTATGCTTAGGAATCTCCTAGTCTGCTTGGCGACATTTTTTTAAAAGCTAACAATAGTTAACTAAAAGTTAATTTGGGGGGTGATCGGTTAGCTCAGTTGGTTAGAGCATGGTGCTAATAACACCAAGGTTGCCAGTTCAATCCCTGCATGGACCACTGTGAGCTGCGCCCTCCTTAAAAAAATAATAAATAAAAAAAAATTAATTTGTTAAATAGCTTTACAGAGTAGAGTGAGTTTCCAGTAAATGATAGAGAAAGCTATTTTATATGCCTCTGCTCTCTGAAGTCCACCTAAATGAACCAAAAATTTAACTGCAAACTCCATCATGATGCAACTCTGCATGAGTTATGACCCCACAGCACAGAATGGGATATTTACCTGCCAGATGCAGTGCACTTTGAACCACACTTAGAACATCAGGCTCTAACACGCTTAACCCCAGGTCTTTTTCCCATTTTAAAGTCCAGTCCAGCAAGCACACCGGAGCTTTTTGTTTCTTGAGCAGATAGCCTGTGTTCACAAATCAAACCAGTTCTTCAGCGCCTCTCGGGACAGGATGGTCATGATGTGGGACTTGCATGGTTCCCCACAACCAAAGCAGCAGTTCTCTGGCCATGCCATGGTGGTCACTGGACTGGCTGTGAGTCCAGGTAAAGTACAGCAGAGCTCTTCCCAACACCATCCATTGTACTTTCTGAAAAGCCCTGTTTTAAGTCCGTCTCATGGACCATCTTCCTGCCATTGTTTCCAAAGACTCATCACAGCTGTGCACTGGCTCTCGGGACAACACCCTCCTCCTGTGGGATGTGGGGACCGGACAGTGTGTGGAGAGAGCTTCAGTCTCCAGGAACCTGGTACGAACTCAAACTTGCTACAGAGCAGGACAGCAGAAGGGAGCATGGGGTGAGGGACGGGGCCTGGGCGAGAGATCAGGAGACCCACAACCAGGCATTAGAGGCATGGGTCCTCATTACTGCTCACCCTTAACTCCCTGTCACACCTGGGCCTCTCAGGGTTGTCAGATTAAATGATCTCTTAAGGTCTTCTGCTCCAGAGAACGATTCTAATTTATATTGGAATTTTAAATGGTGTCCTTATTTAGTCCTTCAAAATATAGTTATTCTATTTCTTCTGTGGGCCAAACACTGTGCTGGGAGCAAGGTTAATGACTAAGGACACGGTCCCTGTCCTCCTGGAACTCACAGCTATGCTCCGTGTTCTGGATGTATAACATCATGCAGAGAAATAAGTATTACTGTTTGCTTTCTGTATAATTTGCTCTGTTTATGAAGCCAGTGTTTTCTGGTAGCAGACTGATATATAAACTCCACAGCCTTTGGGGTCAGTCATACCTGGGTTCAAATCATGGATCCATCACTTTTTAGCTGTGTTATCCTGAGAAAGTTTTTAGAGTCTCAATGCCATCATTTCTAAATGGAGAGAATTCTCTCTATCACCTGACATGGTAGATATTCCTTTAGTGGTCATCAATGTCAGTCATAGTCATCTTTTCCAATTCTGAAGACCACTGTTAATGGCAAGATGTGCTTACCCCATGCCCTCCACATTTGTGTGGGCGTTCCTGGAAGAAAAGAAAATCCTGTTACCTTGGGTTGTTTTGAAAACCGTTTCATGCCTGTCCAGCAGGGGGATGCAGGGATAAAGAGAAGGAACTCTCCCTGAACCCTGCTTGCCTTAGACTAGGGTTTCAGCGGTCCCACTTTAGAAGGGGCTGCTCCCCTTAGCTGCCACCAGCCAGCAGTTCTCTATGGCATGTTTGGGGTTCAAGCACTCTAAGAGTGCCTGCATGCACTTGGGTAATGACTACTGGCCCAGCCACTACCATGGGCGCTGATAATCTAGGAGATGCAAGTAGAACATGACTGGTGTGTATCTGCAAAACATAAAATCCCTCTAAGTCAAATTCCCTAGTTCAGCATCCTTGAGAAGTGGTGCAGAGATGCTATTTAGCACAGTTTACAGGAATTCCAGCAGAGGAATGACTTGGTATGGAGACATCTTGAAATTTTGCTTCTTCAAGGTCACTCACCTGTGCTGGGTCCCCAGAGAACCATATATACTACAGACTTCTGAAGATAAAACCATCAGGTGGGCTTACTGAGCAGCAGTGAAGGTGTTTCTGGTGAAGGTTTGTGGCTCCCATGCTCACACCGCTCCGTTCCCACTCTGTTTCCCTACATTGCTGTGCCCTTCCCAAGGCTTCTGCCCCTTGCTAGTGCTAGGCCTCTCTGATCTGGCCCACGGATCATCTGGGCAGAAGCTGAATGCCAGGGAGTCAGGCCAGGAAAAAGCCCTGTTCTGATTGGTTTCAAAGCAGCTGATTCTGCCCGCCCCTGCTGGGTGAACGTGTTCAGATTAACCTCAGGATTAGTTAGTTACTTGCTTGTCCCACCCCTTCAAGCTGCCTTGCTTTACTTGCTGCCCTTGCTTGGCTCCTGATGTTTTCAATCCCCAGCCCTCAGGTGAAGCCTTCCCTGGGCAAGCAGGGTCAGAGTCACCACCATCAGGGAAGTCAAGTGAAGTAAATTGTTCTTAGACTAGAAAGTGCAACTAGAAACTTTGGATCTTAGGAGAGATTCTACTAGAAAATGATAGGAATGAGACGAGGTAAAATACAACACTCCCCACTGGACCCCATGGCCCAGGTTGGCCAAGGCCTGTAAATCTTTTGAATCTGATTCTGGAATGATGACTGCTCCTCTGCATCATAATAAGTAGCTTTAAAAAAAGTTTTTTTTTAAAAAAATAACCTCTTGTCTGTTGAAAGCAGTATCCCAAAGGACCAAATTAACAAATTAACTTGTATAATTAAGATGCTTGGTCTAAATTCCTATTAACTAGATCTCAAAATAGAAAGAACTCAGGTGGTATATGGTTCCTTCCTGCCAGCTTTGGAGTCGCTGAGATTGATCTGGTTCATGCTGCTGTTTTTAGGTAAATCACGACATTCTATTCTAACTGGCTGAAGCAACAAAGCACCAAGACATTTTTGTTCACAGGCGATTATAGATGTATTTCAGACACATTTACGACAAACTCATTTCCTGCTGTAATTTCTTTCAGATTATGGGATAGTCGGGGGCTGCAGGTGGCTCATATATTTCCCACAAAGCAACACATTCAGACCTACTGCGAAGTCAGTGAGGATGGACACAAGTGTATCTCCTGCAGCAACGGCTTTGGAGGAGAAGGCTGTGAAGCCACGGTGAGAGCGTGTGGGGTCCAAGTGTCTGGTTGCTAATGAGCAAATGCCTGTACTGGGCTACACAGGCAGGTCTACTAATGGCTCAGGCCTATTCCATGTGCATGTTGTAAGTGATTCTTTGCATTCCAGATGCTTCATTCAAGAAACAACCAATAGCCTAGGGCTCTCTGACTTGATCATAGGAAAGAGGAATGGGATGAAAGTCTAGATAGGAAGGTGCTGTCACAGAACCAGCCTGCTCATGTCCCTCCTCCCAGCAGAGCTTAGAAAGGGGAAGAACTATTTGAAGAACTGAGTGTTTCCTGTTGTACATGTGATCACAGTAAAGAGGTTCAAGCTCTATAGGAAGTTGGAGCTCCGGGGTTGGTTGAGGGCCCACTCCACCCCTTACCCATATGCCCTTCCTTCCAGTTGACATTGGGATAGATTGCCTAGGCTCCTCCAAAGTACCTTAGATTCCTAATTGTAGAATATCAGTTAAAAGGGTTATCTATTCTCCAAACAGAACTACAGCTCCCATTTTATCAAACATTTATTAAGTGCTAGGCACTGGGCTGAGCACATTACATGCATTTATCTCATTGAATCCTTAAAACAACCTTGTGATTTAAGTTCATTATAATTCCCATTTTACAGATGAGGAGATAGAGGCAGGGCAAGTTGAACTCTCTTGTACAAGACCACACCTCTCGGAGGTGGTACGTCAAGGTGTTCAATCGCAGGCTGTTGATGTAGCATCTCTTCTCCAAGCTGAGCGTTTCCAGCTCCTACAACTCTTCCTTAGATGACATACGGCCCACCGATTTCGTTATTTTTTGGACACAGTTCAGCTTGTTCTCCTCTCTGAACATTACTCTCCAGGTGTGGTCTGATCTATATCAGCAAAAGTGGGACTGGCGGGATTGGCGCCTTCCTTGTTGTAGACTCTAGTCCACATGTACCAAGGGCCAGTGAGTAGCCATTAAACCAGAAGGTCTGTGCCTATATGTACTTATGAGAAGGTGCTCCTAACTCTGGGGTCTCCACAGGATACCAAAAGGCTGGTTTAAGGCAGCTCTGGAGCTGTCACAGAAAGTAGGCAACCCCATACTGTCCCGTCATGCAGCAGGACTTGGAGCTTCACCTCCCTAACCATGATGGTAGTGACGAAGGTAGCAACCCTTCTGACACACCTTCACCAGGGTTGTTTGAGACAATTATTGCTTAAAATAATCACTGGATGGATGGATGGATGGATGGATGGATGGATGGATGGATGGATGGGTGGTTGGGGTGTGGATGGGATGGATGAAGATAAGGGGTGGCTACATGAGTAAGTGGAGGGAGCAGGTGGGTCACGAGAGGGTGGGGAGATGGATATCAATGAATGAAGTATGTGTGAAGCTGGAGAAATGTGTATGTACGAGCTAGCCTATGTCATTCCTTTGCAGCTGTGGGACCTAAGGCAGACGCGGACCAGAATGTGTGAGTATAAGGGGCATTTCCAGACTGTGGCATCCGGTGTCTTTCTACCAAGAGCCTTGGCCTTGATGCCTGTCATTGCTACCTCATCACATGACTGCAAGGTGAAGATTTGGAACCAGGATACTGGAGGTAAGGAACTTGCTGTTAGTACATCTCAAAGATATAGGAAGTCCTAAAGGCTTCCTTAAAACTTTCTTTCCATTGCTCAGCAAAGCCACCCATGTCTTGCCATTGTCCAGTCCCCTGGTGGTCAAGAGATGACACCAAGATACCAGAATCTCTGCTCAACCTCTGGCTAGAAGCTCTCACCACGTCACTGCTGGTACCATGCTGTACACACCCACTCCTGAGAGCTCAAATATATTTAGCTCTTATATTCATTCTACCTGATGCTCCTCATCAGGTTTTAATGTGTGATGCTCATAATGTTTGGGGGAAAACCCCAGGAATTTCCATTTTTAAATTAATTTGTCAAGGACTAAAATAAGAGCCTCGGCTCTTAGTGGTGTGAAGTAGAGTAAGGATAGCTTCAGAAAGACCCTGCCCTGTGTTCACTCTGCTGCTAAGGTCTGAGATCACAGTAAGGTCATGACACGTCAAAGAAAAAGATGTTTTAGGGAACACAGCTCCCCAGAGTTCTCGATGCAGTGTGCTGGACCCAGCTCCTCCTGGCTGATTGTGAAATATTCAGGAATATTTAATAAGATGATAGTGGAAGCATTTATACCACAAAATCTGGTAAATGCTATGAATAAAGGCTGTTGGCTTTTTCCTTCCAGAAAGCTGATTTACCAGCGCCCCAGTGCCTCCATGCTATTCTGTCCTGGACACGGGATTCTGCCAGACACAGGAATAGCATTAGAGAACCTCAAACCAAATCCCTCCTACAGTAAGCTTCCAGAAACTCAACTCCCAGCAGAGGAGGCTAGGGTGGTTCCCTCAGAGAAAAGATGTGGGGTCATGTCAAGTGGCATATAAGCCAGACTTTCATAGTAAGGACAGCCCTGCTGTACCCTCACCTGCAGCTGCCTTCTCCAGCCACCCAGGTATAGCACTCGTGGGAGGTGGGGGGAGGGGGAAAGGTTTCTAGATTCAATGATCATAAACCCGACGCCAGGGAACACAAGGTCTGAAGGGCTGCCCTGCCCATCAGATGTATGCCTGCCGTTCTGAGAAGGCTCCGAGATGCGGATGGAGGGAGACTGGATAAGCTGGAAGCCCCCGGACTGCCCGTTAGGGTCCCCATTGTCTTCTGTCTTGAAGGGAGCAAGACGAGGGGAAGCCAGCAGCTGAAGATGAGCATCTTCGTTTTCCTCTGCCCTGGTCCTGCTTTATTCTAAGGGCAAGTAACAGAGGGCACCTTGTTAGCACGTCCTTACTGGTGAGGCCCAGGCATCTGAACATGCTTCCCAGTGATGTGTGTCCATCCTACTTGGTCCGCGCGCCATTCTCCATAGTTGAAGTCTTGGGGTTGACCCAAGTTCTGACTTCCCCGCTGGTGCATTCCTCTGAAGCATGCGGTGCCTCTCTCGTCTGGGTTAGACGCATGTAGCACATGTTTTAATTATTAATATGTGGCTTGCTCACAAGGACATTGCGTTTCATGATGTTGCACTCTTGGCCTAAGCTGCTGGTTTCCCCTTGCTTCCCCAGCCTGCCTGTTCACCTTGTCGCTGGATGGATCAGGACCTTTGAATTCCCTGGCCGTTGGCGACACCATCTCCTTATTGTGTGCAAGTTTCCGCAGAGGAATTCACTTACTCAGGGTGGACCACAGCCCAGGACTGGAGCTGCGGGAAGTGGCAGCATTCTGAGACCAAGAGATGTTTGCTGGACAATGTCGTCCCACAGCCCCTCCTTTCTCAGTGTGGCTTTGTGGCTTTCCATATTATCTTGGGGGGAGGGCGATGTGGGGCTCATGCTCCTTGCTTAGGTTCACTTAGAAAGTACTATGTCAGTGTTAGAAATCAATTTAAGTCCAGTGGTTCAAAATCAGGTGCAGAGTTTAGAAACATGGACTAAACATAAGGTTCTCAATTTAAGTTAAATCCAAATGAAATTTTTAGTGAGCTTTTGGGACTGCTCTTTCAAAGAAACAAACAAATTTATGGCTCAAAATGATGACCTATAGGTATAAGGGTGATAGGCCTCTGTCTGTAAGAGTCAGAACACAGCGATTGAGTCTATTGAACTGACTTTTTTGATGTCTCCGCAAAAGAAAAAAATGCAAGGGGAAGAGAATGTCTGTTTTGGTTGCCTCGAAATGATCTAGGTGGGAAAGAATAGTGCAGCTCCATAGAGGAAATAGATTGTAGACATAAGCGCCAATCACTGCTCCTCAGCAATGTGAAGAATGGAAGTTAGGACAAGAAAGCAAAACCTTGGCTTCTGCTCAAAACAGCAGCAGAGAGGGAGGTGGCGGCAAATTCCTGCCAGGTCTTGGTACCTTCCTAGACCGGTGCAGAGGTTGCATGAAAATAGGACCTGGGATGGCTTGAAGAGGCTGTAACAGTAGAACATACAGAAAAATATAGAGCCCGGACTCAACCGTGCCGGTCACTGAGCCCCCCTAAATGAGGAGGGGCAGGGCGCTCAGGTCTGCCTGTGTGGCCCCCAGGAGATCCGTCCCCACCTGGTGCTCACAAGCCCATTTTCCTCCAGGGAAAATAGAGCCCTCCTGCCTTGAGCAAGCCCATGGATCAGGCACCTGAGGCCGGGGGATTTCCTTTCTGATGAGTCTCAGCCAAGGAGAGATTTTGCCTTTGTCCCCTCTGGCCCCTGCCTGTCCGGTACCAGTGGCTGACAGCCATCTTCCTGTCCCCCTCCTGCTCCTCCTTAGGCCACCCACCTCGTGCCATTCCCACTGACTGGGGGAGGAGAACCTGAAGCTACTGCAAAGCGTCAGACCTGAGTTTGAATCTCTAGCTAGGTCTCCATTTAGCTGGATGACCTTGGGCAAGTTATAAAATCTCAGTTTCCTTGCTTACTCTATGGGGCTCATAATCATACATCGCTCACAGGGCTGTTGGGAGACTGCACAGAACTGTATTAAATGCCATAGCAGGGTAGCTTATAAATGGTAGCCATTGTTACATACTGCCCTCTCTGTCCAGACTGGGTGCTCTCTTTTCCACATGAAACATTTACTATGTCTTCATTCTCCTTAGATCTTATTTTCTAAGCCTTTAGCCACTGCTCAGCTTCCCTTTGATTTCTTAAGTTATGGATCTTTGCACTCTGGAAGGACAAAGGGGTAGTGGGAGTGGAAGCTACTCCATTGAGCACCTGCAGGTGGCTGAATACATGTATTCTCACTATAATCTCATTGTTATTCCCATTTCACAGCTGAGGAAGCTGAGGCCCAGGGACATCCAGTCCTTTGCCCAAGGTCACACACATAGGTATGAAGGGAAAGAACTGAGATCTGAACCTGGGTCTGCCTGACTCCAAGCCAGAATACTTGCCTCCCTTTCCCTTTGCCTTTGCATGATGTCACAAAGTTCGTTTTAGAAATTTAGGGACCATGACATTATGTATTTTCTAGACCAGCTACTAACTCTTTGGCTCCAAGGAGATCTTCCTGGCCGGACACCCAGGAGGAGTAGACAGGTGTCTCAGGGGAAGTCCTAGAGTATCCCAAGCTAGTAGTGCTACAGCTGATCCTTTCTTTTAGAAGGAAGACGGACAGTAAGTCAGAAAAGTCAAGGGAGTGGATTGCGAGGGGACCCTGCAGTGAGAGGGAACATACCCGGGAGAAAATAGCAGGCCTCTGATGAATTAGCAGGGTTCTAGTACCAATAAAATTGTTTCCCTAAACTCTACACGTGTGCTTGATGTGTAAATTCCTTATCTGTGCATTTTAAGTGGAAAATAGATTAATAAATGCCAGTGTTTTTATAGGACTTTTAAATGTTATATATCCTAAACCGATACTCACAGCACCTAAGATACAGGCTGCTAAAATGCACTAATTCGTTCATTGAACACTTCATTTCAGAGGCTGCCCCTCTAAAATCATATTAAGGAATTTTCCAAAGACAATTGACTTTGCTTCTGGAAAGTGGATAAGCCTTTGGAACCTGGCCAATTATATGTTTAAAATTTAAGTAAATTTGTATATTTATATATTTATAATTTAAATATATTTATTATTTAAGGAAATGAGTGATGAGTATTAACCTTTATTTTGACACAGGAATTATAAATATAAAACTCAGGTCACTTGGTGTTTTTAATCTTTTAGAACTGAGAAAAGAGACCTTAGCTAATAATGAATAGCCTTTGAAAATATAATTACTAAAGGACAGCTTCATCGTAAAAAATGCAGCAGACTGGTAGTTGTTTCCCGAAATTGGGATTTGTTTTTTCCTTGGCACAGGCTGCCTAGCTAAGGCTACATGGCCAGCGAAGCATGGCCATGAGGTAAGTTCTCGTCAGTGGGTGGTGAGGGGAAGTGATGTGCGTAACTTCCATCTTATTAGCTTGAAAGGAACCTACTTGTCCAGGATTACCCCTCTGAGTCCCTTCCCACTGGTCAGAATGCAGACTGCCAGTAACAACTTCAACTAGTGTGATGAAGACGATAACAAGGCAGCAAGACAGAAGGAACCTGGGGCCCCGTAAAACCTCAAGGAGCTGGGCTGCTCCTACAGCCTGACCAGCTGGACTGTGACCTGAAAGAGCAATGAAGGGCTGGCTGAGTGGCTCAGTTGGTTAAGAGCTTGCTCAAGAGCATGAGCTCTGAGCAACAGCAGTTCAATTCCCAGCCCGAGCTGAGCTGCTGCTGAGCTGCCAACAGGTGGCAGGATGGCTCAGCTAAAAATAATAATAATAATTATAGCCGCTGCTACTGAAAGAGGAATGAACTTCATTCCTTTTAATCTATTGTATGTTTTCTTGACTTCTAATTCAAGTATGCAGTCATAAACCGTTTCAGACATCTTACGTTTATAGCTTGCTGAATTTTCATAGACAACACATTCTAGTAACCAGCTCCGAGGTGAAGAAGTATCATATATCCAGGAAGCCAGATGCCCCCCTCATACTCCCAGGTCTACCTGCCAAGGAATTTGTAACAGCATAAATTGCTTTTGTCTGCTGTTCTACTTTATATGAATGGAATCAAACTGTGCTGTAGTAGATGGAAAATATAACAACAAATTCCTCCCATCTCTGTATACCTGACCCTTTGCAATGTGACTTCTAATCAATAGGTAGGATCTATTTCCCCTCCCCTTGAATCTGCACTGACCTTTTGACTTGGTTTGACAGATAGAATCCAGGGGAATGAACGCTATGCAATTTGTGAGGCTGGGCCTTCAGAGGTTTCGCAACTTCACTTTTACCCTCTTGGAATGCTGCTCTGAGATCTCCATGTCAGGGAGGGGACCTGGGCCACATGGAGAAGAACCGAGCACCACCAGATGTGTGAACAAGGTCACCTTGGACCTCCAACTCTGCCAAATGTGCAGCCGAATGTCGCCACAGATGAAATCAGAAAAGAAACCGCGCAGCTATGGCACACAATCATAGGTAGTTTGTCATGCAGCAACAGATTTAAGTGACACAAGTATGTGTTCTTGTCCAGGCTTCCTTTGCTCATCATGTTTGTGAGATCGATTCATACTGTTGCATGTAGTTGAATATCATCCCTTCTCATTGCTGCATGGTATTCTAATGTGACACAATATTATAATTTACCCATTTAACTACTGATGGTCTAGCTTCTAGTTTGGGGCTCTTACAAACAGTGCTGCTATGAACATTCTACTAATACGTCATATGGTGACGCATGCATGCATTTGAGTTCATTACGTAACTAGTGGAGGCCTCTCGGGGCTGTCACATAACTTGCATGATCAGCTTTAGCAGATACCACCTCTTTTCCAAAAAGGTTGTCCCAAGTCACAGTCCCACCTGCTGGCAGGAGAATTCACAGACTTTCAGTGGTTTCTTGCTGAAACTGTGTGCTCTTAAACTTTGCAACCCTCAGTTTTAAAGATGAGCACGTACTAGGGAAGTGTTAACCATGAGGCAACATCAGAAAGAAGCTGGACCAACTGGTTTTGATGCCTATCTTTCTTCCTGACACTTCTGGTTAAAAGGCCAGAATGGAACAATAAAACCTTATATGTACACAGTGCTCTATATTTTACCTGCTACTTTCACAATCATGATTTCATCTGAGTCTTCCAATAAGAAAACACTATAAAAGAGGCAGTGTGGAGATTATTACTTCTACAGAGAAGGAAGGTGACTTGCCAAAGGTCACACAGCATGTGGCAGAGCCCAGATGAGAGCCCAGGTCTTTGGATATGGAGACTGGCTCTTCCCACCAAAGCCCTCTACTTTCAGTGGCATTGTCCTGGTGCTGGTGGGTACAGAAGCTGACGGGAGAGGGCAGATAGGACGTATTTGTACCTATGGAATAAGTGACATAGCTTAAACACCACAAACACAAGGAGCGTCCAACTCATTCCCAGATGTTATCTCCCCAGGGTCTGGAACACAGCGTCCTGCTTATTCAAGATTTTGCACACAGCAAATTGAAAAGCCGTGATTTGGGGTGACAGAGATGGGTGTCAGCTAGCACCGCATGTCCACAGGCTGGACTCTCTCAGTCCAGCCGGAAATAGCCTTTTGGAAACCGGCCAGTTTCACATGACTAATAACCATGCAGACATTTAAAATGAAGCTACACAGAATGCTGTCCTTAACTCACCCTAAGTGAAAAACACAGGTAGCAAAACAGCACCATGCAGCATTGTCTCATTCTGGTAAAAATACATCTGCACATATGTCTATACGTTCATAGATAAAGATCTGGAAGAAGTAGAGCCAAAATGTTAACAGTGTTTTCTCTGGGTATTAACTTGAAAGATCAATTTATTTTCTATTTTATGCCTTTCTGTATTTTTTTTTTTGCCATGAGGATGAATCAGTTTCATTTTTAAAACTTACTTATTGTTGAAATAGATAATGCGTTCACATAGTCAGAAGGTAATCCAGTCGTCTCCCGCTCACCCACGTCGGCCTCTATCTGGCTCCCTCCAGAGGTAACCGGTGTTGTCAGCATCTAGTATATGCTTTCAGAGACATTTTATGCACACACAAGCACAGACATAGATTTGTTTCCTTTAGCACCTTTACAATAAAAAAACAAAACTACTTTCATTAAATTTTGTTTTCAATTACAGTTCACATTCAATATTAGTTTCAGGTGCACAGCATAGAAGACTACTTTCATTTTGAAGATAAGGTTGTAGAAGACTATTTTACGATGTAGAAAAATAAGTGGGAAAAAGCTACAAAACTACATAGAGTGTGACATTTTTTAAACAATTTGTGAAAAAATTTTTTTTGTATTTAAAATACTGTACGTATAAATAAAAGACTGAGAGGCTATCATCCAACTGTGTCGGCGGTTATCTCAGCATGTAGGATTTTGGGCGAGTTTATATTCTCCTTATAGGTGGCAGTGTGCCTTTTGGTCTCTAGCACCAGGCTGCCTGGTTCACATCCCAGTCTGCCACTTTCTAGCCCAGTGACCTTGGGCAAGTACCTTAATCTCTTTGTGTCTCGGTGTCCTCACTGTAAAATAGAGATGATGATGATTGCACATACCCTTAGAGTTGAGATGCCATCAGGGATAAGTTGTAAAATTCAGATATAGCAGCCCTTAGAATAGTGGGTGTCATTGATTATTATATTCCTTTGAGTTCCCTAATGTTTCTATATTGGACATGTATTACAATAAAGGTTAAGTAATAAACTCCCATGAGAGAAAGGAAGCTATACAGATACAGAGAGGAGCACAGATGAGAGAGTGTGGCCATAAGAGAAGAGAAGAGTAAGAGAGCCTGAGGCCCCAGGAAGAACGGAAAGACCCTGCAGACCCAGAGAGGAGGGAGGTGTCTGCGTCCTGATTTTGACACTCTGAAAGCCCTGTGAGAGGGCTCTTGCCAGTGTTGCCAGCTGAGCATTGCAAGAGCAGAGAAGGATCCTGACCCAGGAGCTGTCTCTCCTGGCGTTTGGAGACGGCCTTTGAGATCGTCACAGAAACCCTTGGACCTTCCTTGTATAAACAGCCTTCAGCCAACACTTGGCCACTAATTTCCTGGCAGGGCTCGCATGGAGAAAGGCTTCAGAATAAGTGTGATGACTCCCCTGGTTGTGCCTGGATCAATTCACACCCAGGACCTTCTGAGGGTTAATTACTGCCACCGTGACGTGGTGGAACTATTTTATATTTGAAAGAATATCTAGATCTTGTAGTTACTTTTTGCTAAGTCTGAGGTGAACAAGGGCTAGGAAATAGTACCACATCAGTGTTTCTAACTTTATTCAATTGACACCTTCTACAAATAAAATAGTTCCTCACTCTTATCCACAATTCTAAAATGCTTACATTCTGCAGAGAAATTATTTTCACTGAATTTGGTGCCAAAATTGGCCTGACTTTATGGCGTTTATTCTTTTTGGTGTTAATATTTATAATAAATTGCAGAATATTCATGTGTTTGATTACAGGGTGCTGCCCCAGATCCCACTGGGAGAGTCACTTAATATATAGTAAATGCAAACTACCTTCCTAAAATATGAAAAATTCTGAAACCCACCTGGCCCCAAGATTTTTCACATGAGGGATTGTGGCCTTGGAAATAAATTCAGATGCCACCTAAAACAGATGCAGAGGGAGCCCACTCCCAGGTTGGGATGCATCCGGCCCTGTCTGGGTCTCTTCTTCCTGGTGTCAGGTCCTTGGGAACTGTTTTTGAACCTGAAGACAGATGTAATCAGGATGAGTCAAGGAACATATACT